TTAATCGCTCTAAGGAACAATTCTTCTGGTGTTGAGACAGCTGCCATGCTACATCTTGATCAGTATGTGTTAATGGTTGCTTCCTTCCACAAAAAAGAATTTCTTAAAAATGGCAATGCCAATGAAGCTAATATTTGGGAAACGGAAACAATAAAGTGTTATGATAACAATTGTTATGGTATTAGTGCACAGCTTGGCAATAATGCTGTAAGGTACAGTGAAGGAGTGCAGAAGCTTACAGTGAAGGAGTGCAGAAGATGTGTCAAGTCTCTTGCCCTTGTGAAGAAGGGTTCCACTGTCCATGGTGATTACTGCAGGCATCTCTAACCTCAAAGCTTCCTGCATGAGGCTTTGACTGTAGGTGGTAAGGACAGAGACCCATTGCTGTACAGAATTGTTTTGTAGGTGCATCTGTTGGTGAAGGACAGTTCTCAGGTGGTTCCCCTTACTTTCTGTCCTCAGTAAGCATATTAAATAATGGGATCACCATACTCAGTATCAGAATATGTAAGTACAAAGCAGTTTTAAATGTAAGCTGCTGTTCTCTTGACTAAATGTAGTGGAATGCCATGTTTATATTTCCTTGCAGAAACTGGAGATTGGAAAGATAGGGGTCTTGATTCGCTTTAACATCTTGATAGTACTAGCTACTTGAAACAGCTTCAGTACTGTGTCCTGCTAAGACAAGAAAAAGCTACTGTTGTGAATCCTTTCTAAGGAATTTGTACAAGGATAAGCCCTCGTACAGTATGGCATGTACTAAACCTGTAACTGGTCAAACTTGAGAGATGGAAAAAGAGATGTTAAATGCTCAGGTGCTTTTTTGGCCTTCCTTCTTTGCAGAAGAGTAATGACAATTAGAACAATTAGCTAAAGAAGTTACTACTTGGGACATGCCAAATCCAGCAAACTGCAAAAAAAGCAGTCTGCCTGAAGAACCATCATGTATTCTTAAAAACAGACTTGTTGGTTGTCCTGTCCTTTATCTGGGGCTTCTATGTTGTAGTACTTGGAAAGAAACAAGAGCAGAAGAGTTCATATGTGTTTATTCTGGTACTGCCTCATATGGTTCAATATAGCCTGAGCATGTTGAATTTAAGATGAGCTCTAGGTAAGTTCACCACAAATAAACGTTCTGCATGGCATACACCACTATCAAGAATTCTCAGTAAAACTAAATAGCCATTTTTACCCATGAGAAACTTCAATATGTTAGTGTATTTCTAGTTGTGTGTGAAAAATCTCAGATCTCTTCTGGCTAACGAGTCTTTTCTTATTACCAATCCAGTTCTAATGTGGAGGCTATTCACAATTGGCACAAGTAGCTTATTGTCATGATGCATTACTGGAGATGAAATAGTAGACTATCTGTATTTTTCAGTGCACTGTGATACAGCAATGAAAATGTCTATGTAGGAACAGAGTTTAACTGTTTCTTGGCTAAATTCCTGTCAGTGTATGATAGAATTATCAGCATGTTAATGTGTCCTATTTTTAACTTTAACAGTGCAAGTAAACACTCTGAGCGTTCTTTGGAGTGATTGGATAGAAGACTATTTTGATACGAAGTTGTGTTGACAAGAGCATTTTTGATCTGAATGCTAAAACTGTTTCTTTCCCCTTTTGTCACACCCCCTCCAAATCAACAATGCGTTAGTGTTTTTTACTGCTTATGAAGATCTTACCATACATGTATTGCAGTTCTAAAATAGTGCTAGTGCAGTTTTTTCCATTCAGTATGTGACTTGAGTAGAAGCATTGTTTCCTCATGAGCACAAGCATGAAAATACTGTTCCTGCTTGATTTGCAGCTGAGACCACAGTGGTACTTTAAATCTTGCATTAAAGGGAAGAACTTGGAGCTTTGTGTATGGAATACTTTTGTGCCCACACTGTAATATCTGTTCTCACTGTTTTATTGGGCAGCCACTGACAACGGATAACCACCAGTAACCTTTCAGTTATTACATATTGTGTGTGCTTCGGAATATTTTTCTGGGAAGTATTGCATGGTGTGGAGAGACAAGACAAACAGAACAAAACTTTCTTGTGTTCACAGTGTGTGTATGTTGGACCTGATCTGGTAACTGATAACTCAAAATTTGCAAGCCATTATCTCCTTTCCAGAATACAGCAGGCTGAGCTATTGGCTTGTTTGAGCCCTACAGTAAAATGTGTAGATGTCACATAATGGTTGAGGTTGGGAGCGACCTCTGGAGGCCAATGTGTGCAGGTCGTACCAGTAGCTGGCCAGCCATGGTAATGTGCTGAGTAATGTAATTGTCTCTTAACACTAGACGGTAGGATAGTCTCCACCTTCTCATAAAACCTAATGTTGCAGGTTTCTTCTAGCCCTTCCTTGATCTTCCCTGACCCGTCTTTTCAAAGAACAATTTTATTCCTTCTTATTAAAGACATGGCATGCCTTTTTTTGTAGGCAGGTTTCTTGGCCAAAGCATAAAACCTACTTAGATAATGTAAATGTAAATCCCTTTATGTAGTACTTTAAAATTTGATTTGTTCCAAGTATAATGTGATGCTTTTCTGTGAGAAGTAAAGGTAGTTTTTATATGAAGGAATAATAGCACGCAATTACACTGTTGCATCCTTGGTTGGAGGATCTGTTGTCATGGCTGTGAACATCTTTGTTAACCTGTTTTTTGTTTTAATGTATCTTTTTTCTTCCCAGCTACTGATGGTGTGTGGGGAGAAGTGAGGAGGAACTTATCATCAGTGCTGCTGGAAACAGCAGTACCTTGATAAGGGAGATTTTAATACCTGGGGACAGTTCAAAGGTTTATTCCTGCATTTCTAGGAAAGTCATCTGGAGGATGAGTACTCAAGGGCATCAGAGTAGTGTAGTATGTAGGCTTACTCTTTTTTGTTGAAACTTTAAGGTGTGTGAATTAGGTGAGGATCCTGATAAGAGGTCTTTGCATTTCTTCAGTTCTTGTTTAGGCAGGTTAGGATAGGCTCAGCAAGTGAGCGGCTTGTGGCTGTATCTGTTAAATTAAAACTAGTTAATTAGTATTACTCTTCTTGAAATAGAGCTGCTAGGGTTCATTCTGTGTAAAATCTTAAATGTAGCAGCAAGGTAATTCTGTATTTTGGTCCTCACTTTGTTGTGATGTTCTTGCCACTCTAGATGGATCACACACCACTTCCTTCTTGATTTGTGTGTCTGAACATAGGTAATCAGCAAATCAGTATATTCATTGATCAAAGGCTGTGCAGATCTCTCCAGGTAACAACCATTAGTTCTCCTCTATCCCAGAGAGCTGCGGTTCAGCAAACTGGGTAATTCCGTGTTACATTTCTTTTTGTCCTCTTTTTAACGTATGTAATGTGTGATATACATGTATGTATGTATATATATATACACACGTGCATATAAAAATATACATATGTATACAACAAGTGTATCTAATCCCTTTGGGAGACAAGAAATATATTATTTAAGAAACCTCTCTCGGAAAGGTAACAATCTGGAAACTGATCACGATTCTGCCTACTGGTATAAAGCTTATGCCATACAGGATCTCCAGATGTGTTGCAGGTGCACCTGTTTTTAAGTGAATTTCGTAATTGGAGTCATTGAGAAGCACTGATGTGAATCTGTGCTAATGACTTTTGGATAAGGTTGAGATAATCAGATTATTTTTTTCAGTCTGCTTTGTATATTTACTGCTGATTGTGAGGGGATATGGATGACACCCTTCAGAATGACTATTTATAAATACTTGCTCTGGACTTTATGCTGAAGGTATATTTGGTGTTAATGTATCAGGAAGAGGAGCAGTTTAATAAAGTATCTCACATTAAACTTTCTTACTGGGTCCATTCAGCATGAAGCATACTTCTTGAAAGCATAAATTGGGTCCAGACTATTTTTTGTGTTATTTAGTGAATGGGAGTTTTGCCTTTGACCTCATTGGGATTGAACCTCTAATTGCTTAAGTGTTTTATAAGACCTCTGGGATGCAGGCTGCTTCACAAATTCCGCTTGAGCTGGTTTGTTGAATAGTATTCTTCAAATGGTATTCAGCGTCTTTCTAGTATGTTCACTCTTTATACTTGTTGCCTTGGATAACTAACAAACTTTGCTTAGAGTGTTGCCTGCAGATTTGTTACAGCAAATGTAGGAAACTGAGTTTGTGTGTTCAGGTGTTCACCTGGCTTGGCAAAAAAACCCTGCTGCTTCAAAAGTAAGCATGCGACATCATGTATATGCACACACTTTTATTGCATGCAGATTGTATTGTTTACACACACACATTTATTTTAATATATATCAAACTGTTAATATTTCTGCATTGTAAGGCTGAGTGTTGACTTGTAAAGGAAATCCACAAGTTGGTCTTCATCCATGAAACTGATGATTACTGTGTCTGTCATCCTTCATTTTAAGGAAGGAAGAGTGTTTGGGAAGAGACTTATCTTTCCTCCTTCTCCTGAAATGTCACCTTCCTTTCTAGCAGCATCACCTTACAATGAATAGTAGAATAGTTTGCCAGGAAGTGAATAATTTATTTCCGGAAAAATCGATCAAATGACAGCAAAGTCTGAACTACAGCAAATGCTGTAGCTGAGACCAGTAATTTGTGGTAGAACAGTATATGCTTTCAGATTAAGAAGTAAAGCCTCCTGTGCTCTACAAGTCACTTCATTTGAAATTTTGTAGTTTTTTTTTTTCTAAAAGACCTTGTATTTGTTTCTTAGTGCTGTAGAACTGATTCTTAAAAGTATTTATTATTCTGACTGCTAGCGGATTGCCCTGAGTGAAGCAGAATACCTAAATCTTCTGTGTAAGTTTTTTTTTGCATAACTTGAAATCTCTCAGATGTCTCATGCGGGGAATGGAAAAGTTAAAACTTCTGTTGGATCATTCTTTAACTTTTCTATTAAAAGTAAATTAGTTTTTTTACAATGTATTAAATGCCCCCTTTACTCTGTTAATCACATAAAATTTTTTTTTTCTATTTTTTTTTTTTTTTCCCCAAGGAGCCCTTTGAAGATGGCTATGCAAATGGTGATGAAGGCACACCAGCTGGGGAAGCTACTGCCTCTTACACACCTGACAGCAAAGGAGTGGTCAAGTTTGGCTGGATAAAAGGTGTATTGGTAAGTCTGGTTATTGTACTTCAGTTTCTTACAGATTTGATTTTTCTATTAGCCTTGTTTTCTTGAGAGGGATTGTGATAGTGCTGTATAAAGAAAAGATTATATATATGAGAGATGTGAAAAATGCCATAATTTTGGGTAAGGTTTCTTATACTGAATTTTAAGGAAATGAATACTTCAGGGCTTAAGTTTTCAAGTTATCATGGCTTCTTAGCACTGGTTTTGTGATTTTGAAGTTGCATAATTTCCAGGAAGGAAGAAGATTATGCAAGTATTCATATGTAGTAGAAAATATGAATCTTAAGTGACAAAGGCAAATGAACTGAATACACTTTGTATGTGTTCACCTTGGATCTGTAAGACTTTGGATTGAAGTGTTAGAAAACTTGATTTCTATTTGTTTTACTTCACGGAAACAAAAAATAATGTGTTGAGCAGAGTACCTACCACTATCTGGCAAAACTTGACCCAGATTAAGTATTTAAATTTTGTTGAACCTGGTACAAAAAGTAATCGTCTCCTAAGGTGTGGAAGTCTTAATACTGAACAGTATAGTCATGGTGGAAAAAACTCAAGTCTGCTCCCATCTGGAATAGTGAAAAATTAAAGGTGACATGGGGGATTTTATTACAAGTGCATATTAACTTATTTTTAATATTTTGGCAAGGAGAAACTATGAGTAATATGTACTCTCCAAAGCTGAAAGAATTTATAGTGATGGTTGCAAGTGCAACAGTTGGTTAAAATATACTGAACTTGAGCATTCAAAATATCTAGCTTTAGTTCAGCAGTCTTCCACTGTGTAACAGCAACTTGTTACAAGTCTTCAAGTAGACATATTCATTCATATGGGAGAAGGAAAGTGCCTATAGTAGCTGTGAAATGGGTATTACAGACTTCTACTGAGGTACCCCAACCAAGTTCAGAGTTGGTCATTTTGAAGCAGATGTGAAGCTGACTTTGAATGTCTCCAAACCCAAATCCTCTATTGGCTTATTTTTGTAAGCAACAACTCAAAGTATTAAAAAGAATTACGGAATAAAAGTTGCTGGCCATTTTATTCCAAAGGATATTTAAGTTTCAAGGAGAATGATCTCTTTTTCAGTGGTTTGAAAGTTGCAGTTAGTACTTCCTAGTAGGTAATCTGCCTGGGTGAATATCTTCACCTCATGTGATGTACATTTTGTGAAAGACTTCTTAAATCTCTGAGAACTTTTTACTTTTGTGCTTTGAAGAGGTCCTTGTCTCATTTCTAGTCCTAATGGCCATCTAAACTTTTTGTAGGATTGATACCGTACTCTTCAGGTCAGAGAGTCCTGAGTTGTGTTGGTAGGCTTCTGTCTAAATGCTGTACAGTGTAAAGTATTTTAATAAGGACTAAGAGTTTAAAATGTAAAGATAAAAAATACACACTACCACCACCATTCTGCTGGTGTGCAACTGTTTTGTCAGATAAAAAAGTTGTAGGGTGGGAAGGTGTGGTAGGTGCTTGTTTTATAAAAAAAAATAATGAATTATTTAATAGGGTATTGGTTTAGTGCAGTTTTGGGGGGGGGGGGTATTTTTGGAAGATCTGAAGTGGGGTTGTAGTCTTCATATTCTCTAGATTATGCAGTCTTATTTAAGTCATATGTTCTGCAGTATAAATTTTGGATCTTGAAGCTTAAGGGTCTAAGTTTTTATTTGGTTAAGACATACTATAGTTGTCAAATACTAAAGTATTGTAAATTAGCTGTGTTCAAGGTAATATATTTTTATTCATCTTTAGGTTCCTTTTTTTTTTTTTTAACCAAGCCTGGTCTAATTAAAAAGGATCAAAACAACTATTCTTGTAAAACTGTGAAAAGTGGTGAATAAAGACTGCAAAATAATTTTAACAACATTAAAAACTGAAAACACACCTAACCTATGTATTTATGTTTTATCTTAGGTACGATGTATGTTAAATATTTGGGGTGTGATGCTCTTCATTAGACTTTCATGGATTGTAGGACAAGCTGGCATAGGTATGTGCACTAATACTATAATTTTATTTTAGTCAGTCTTTAAATGTGATCCAAAAGAAGTGTTGATCCTGAGCTTACACTTTATAGAGAGGTAGAAAATGTCCTTAATATTGCCAGTTTTGAAGATAATTTAACCTTATTCAAACTTAGCTGTGTGAAGTTACTTGGACTTTTTCATCTAGTTGTAAGTTATGTAATTTAAAATTGACATCTGTAAATCTTCAGTGAACTTTAATGATAAAATTTGCATTTCTGGTTATCAAAGTCTGTGTATGGACAAGTGTAGTACATAAACAGTTTCCTTTGAAGGCTTAACTTAGTTTTGGACTGCAGAAAATACCTCCTCTGCAAAAGGCATGTGTCTTCTTGAAGCTCTAGGGTACAGCTTTTGCCCTGCTGATTAAAGATAACGTTTATCCAATTTTGATTTTATCCTGGAAATTTCTCTGTACAAAAGGGGCGTGAAGAAGCCTTTTGCTTGAATGTGTGGGACCACACACAGTAAATTTGTGTTGTATTTGCAAGGCTAATTGTTTAAACCAAGTTTAGTTGAAGATTTGTACACCTTAATACAGCTGGACTTACACTCTTTTTTCCGAAAGGTCTGTCCGTCGTTGTTATCGGAATGGCCACTGTGGTGACCACTATTACAGGACTGTCTACTTCAGCAATAGCCACAAATGGGTTTGTAAGAGGAGGTAAACCTACTTTCATAAAGCCTATAAAACTTGGATCAATCTTGAAGCATACAGCTTGAATATGAAACCTAATTTATTTTCCGTATTTTTAGTATTGGAGGTAAAACCGTGCAGATGAAATATAAGGAACAGTTAGTTTTCTGAGGAGCTGAGTTTTCCCTATGTTCTGTATTTGATTAAGCAGACATGTAATTAATGAAAAGCCAGTAATGGCTTACTAATAAGATTTTTAATATTGGCTTGCTTTCCCCCTGCGGAAGAAACATTGCCTGTTATGAATTTTTGGAATGCAAACATTTTTGAGATGCACATATCCAGGATTGAATAGGTTCCTGATATTCTCCTGCATCTGCACTTGTGGTTTAAGGGTATGCATGTGTGCTTATATATGTTCATGCCCTGAAATAAAATTTACTAATGAAAAAATACATCCTATAGAAGGATAAACTACAACTATATGAGAGCATACATGGCTGTGTTCCTGTTCTATTGGGATTTTTATTTTTTTATACACAATAGAACTTCTTCAAACTCTTGATATCTAGCTTTCTTGAGGGTAATGGTCATTCTCTTTCATGGTTTATGTGTGGTTGTCACCAGTTCCTACAAAATTACTTTGTAAGTGTTTGGTACCTTTGACATGTTCAGACTGCTTCATGACATCACAGAACTGCTACTGCTAGAAAATATGGTGGAATTAAAGAAGAAGTTTGCAAATTTTTTTTTATTAAGAATGAACAGAAAAACCTCACTATCATAAATAGACCCAGCAGGAATCTTAGTATTATGTTAAGCTTAGTATCTAAATGTCCTTCCTTTTTTTTTTCTCTTTTCAAATTGCATTGTACATACCAGATTTTCTTGTTCATCTGAGAGCCATTTTGCTTTTAGAGTCACTCTTGCAAAATAATAATTCATTAGAAAATTTGAAGTGCTGAATGGAGAAAACTGTAAAGCAAAATCACAGCTGCTCCTGTGAAAATCTTACATTACAGTAATATCGTTCTTATGTTAGTGTTCCCATTTGCAAAGTACGTCAAAGCTGGATGCCTACATATGTTTTGCACAGCAACTGTAGTGCAGTGAAATTAAGGATATCCTGTTGCAAATTTTTAATGTGCACTCAATTACTTCAGACTGGAGCTGGAGGATTTTGTGGCTTCTAGAAAGCTTAGCCTTAAATTGGAGGAATGTGCATTTGCTACTTTTTTTTTTTTTAATTTTCACTCTAAGGCTGTGGATACTCGATATGTCCATTTGTCATGTCGGGTTTGAGATGTTGTATTTGACAAGCTCAAAAATACAAAGTATAAGTTCTGAAAATTCAGTGACAATGTGATTTGAGAGTCCTATTGAGGGGCAGAAAACTCTCTTAACAACAGAGCTTTAAAAAAAACAGTCATGGAGGTTTGTAGGTTGAATGAGTTTATTACAATCTACTTTGCCAGTTTCTTGAGCTATAGCTAATGAAAATGTATAATAGTAGAACTATGCAGAAATGCTTTCCGTGTTTTCAAATAAAAAGCCCAGTAATACCGGTATTTGTATTTTACAGTTTGTTTTTTAACCACAGAACTGGTTGCATAGCTGAATAATATGATGTGGTGCCTGAGTCGGGATTATTTCCAACTGGTGTCTTGAAAACTTGAAAGGTTCCTGAAACTTCAGCATGCTTGTCCCAGAAATACTGAGTTTTGGGTTATTTTCTAATACATCAGGGAAGATGCACCCATAAATAGCATCTTGTTTGTATAAACTTTAAACTGCTAATGACTGTTTGTTCTCACACTTTATCACATAGAGGGTATTTTTGTCTCATTTTTCTTTTTCAGGTGGAGCATATTACTTAATTTCAAGAAGTTTGGGGCCAGAGTTTGGTGGTGCCATAGGTCTGATTTTTGCATTTGCCAATGCTGTTGCAGTAGCAATGTATGTTGTTGGCTTTGCAGAGACAGTTGTGGAGCTACTCAAGGTATATGGACGATGGTGGTTATATTGATTACACTGTCCTTTATGCAAGTTTTAGCCGTCATCTACTCATAAAATCATAGAATGGTTTGGGTTGGAAGGGACATTTAAAGGCCCTGTAGTACAGCTCCCCTGCCATGGGCAGAGACACCTTCCACTAGACCATATTGCTCAGAGTTCTGAGCTTGACCCTGAATGTTTCCAGGGATGGGGCATCTACCATCTCCCTGGGAAACCTGTTAAGTGCCTCACCAGCCTTATAATAAAAAAAAATAAAATACCCTTACATGTAGTCTAGGAATCTTTTTTTTTTTTTAGTTCAGATCTTACCACCTGTCCTATCGCTACAAGCCCTATTAGAAGTCTGTCCCCATCTGTCATGTAAACTCCCTTTAAGTATTGAAAGGCTGCAGTAAGGCTTTCCTGGAGGCTTTCTTTTCTCCAGGCTGAACAACCCCAGCTCTCTAAGCCTTTCCTCATTGAGAGGTCTTCCAGCCCTCTGATAATTTCTGTGTCTCTCCTCTGGACCCATTCCAGCAGGTCCATGTCTTTCTCTTACTGGGGTCCCCACAGCTGAATGCAGTACTTGAGGTGGTGTCACCCAAGAGTGTCGCATAGGGGCAGAGTCACTTCCTTCCTGGCCCCACTCCTTTTAATGCATCCCAGTGTACGGTCAGCTTTCTGGGCTGCAAGTGCACATTAGCGGCTCATGTCCAGCTTTCCATCCACCATACATTTTCCATCCAGAAGTCCTCCTCAGCAGGGCTGCTCTCAATCGCTTCATCCCCCAGCCTTTATTGATACATCACAATTGTCCTGACCAGTTCAAAGATACGGAATGAGGTACAAGCCTGATAGGTACTTGTACCTTGATGGATCAGTAAAATACTACTGTAATTCAGTAGCTTTCTGGTTTAAAACAAAAATAAAAACCAAACAGAAAACAAAAAAACCAACCAAAACCAATCTAACAAATTATCAAAAGTGTCAAATGGAAACTTCCCACGCTATCTCCTTGACCAATCTGTGGTAAAATCCAACCTGGCCATTGAGGAAAAGGTTGTCAGGTACAGATATGTGATGTAGAATCATGGAATCATAGAATCAACTAGACTGGAAAAGACCTTTAAGGTCATCAAGTCCAACCATTACCCCAGAACTGCCAAGACCACCATTAAACCATATCACCAATTCTGAGATTCTTGTTATTGTTTCTTTTAAGTGATAGTCATTTATATTACATTCGTTTCCAAAGGTGTTCTACATATCAAAAACTATATCTTAACCTAAACACAACCAAGTATTTTTTTGTTGTTGTTGAATGTTTTGATTAAATGTAATACTGAGAAGAGCTATACTTTTTGTAGATGGCAAGCAGTTTGGAATACATTAAAAGAATTAATAGTGAACAACAAGTGAAATACGTGTGCAGTTGCCTTGCTGATTAATCTGATTCTCTGGCAGCTGAAGACAGGCCATGCTGCTTGGGGATGGGCTATGTATAGGCATGATCATTTTCACTTAGAAGATTCAATGATTTAAAACAAGACAAAACCCAAATTACTTGTGTCTGTACAGGGAATTTAAAATTAGTATATTTGAGGTATAGAGTTTAAATCTGTAAATTACAGTCAATAAAATGCTGTTCTGCAGAAGGGAAGGTAAGTACTTGATGTAAGTGTATGACTGTTTTTTTTGTCTTTGTGTGTTTTTTTTGTTAGGAAAATGGAGCACTGATGATTGATGAAATGAATGATATCAGAATCATAGGGGCTATAACAGTGGTTATATTGCTGGGTATATCTGTTGCTGGTATGGAGTGGGAATCAAAAGTAAGGAACTTTTCTTCTCTGCTTCATAATTTTAATTCCATTTTCTATGTCAACTGTTTCATTTTTAATATATTTACTGCACTCAATATTGCATGCATGATATGTTAGAAGTCAGCAGGCAGTTTTTATATAATAGTTCTCTGGTCTGGACAGAATTTGGACCTTAGACTGCCTTACTCCATTGGAAGTTTGACCATCTGTGAGAACTTAAAAACCGCATAACCTATTCATAATGACACTGTCAAGTAGGTTAATGGTATTACTTTTTCTTGTTAGTGCATTGTTGCCCAGATGAGGGTAAGAGCAGTAGTATGGGAATTTTCCCTCAGTGGGTACTTCAAATGAGCTCTACAGATGGAAAATACAGGGCTGGAGCTGAAGCCCATCTGAAGTTACGTAGGTTCTGTTAACTCAAACCCAGTATTTTTATTTTCCTGTTCACTTTCTTTTGGTTTGTTTTCACTTGGAAACAGAGAGACAGTGGTGATGTGGTTCCTAGGCCCAGCATTGAGGACAGTTGTGAACATTGGTGGTGACGAATGTGTAGGAGGGTGAACCTCATCCTGTGGTTGCACAGTCTTAGGTCAGCTCAGATTCTGAAGACAAATACATATAGATCCTAGGATATCTTAACATAGGGGTTGCCTTATTAGTTTTCTGCTGTGCGTCATTAGGCAGTGTATCACTAGGCAGTGTAGCTTGCTATTTTTTCCTGCACCTGGTGGCCTTTTATGGAGCATTTGCCTATCATGTGCTCAAAAACAATCGAGAAGAGCCTCACTTGGTTTCCTTCCCATTTGATACTTAGCTCACAATAGCTCCTATTTTTTCCAGTGACAGCCAGCTTTTTCATTTAAATGTTGTAACTTAAAAAAAAAAACACAAAAACCAACAAAAAAAGACGGAAGTAAAGATTAAATCTGCCACAAGGAGAAAAGAACCTACAGAAGCCGAGTTTGGCATGTACTTGAAAATCAAAACAGCACACTTACGTAAAAATTTTTCATATAGTCCTTTGCTGTCTGTACCCTCAGTTTGTAATGGTATTTTTATGTACGTGGCAAGACTGTCCTCCTTGATCTTGACCATTCAGTTTTTCTTTTGCATTACTTAGTTGTTATTAACCCTCTAGCTACTATCACTTGAAGTCACAAGAGATGTCTTGCTTTCGCTCTGTAGCATGCACAATTCTATAGCAATAGCTTGCATAGAATACCCTGTTTAATGTTCTTGTATCAAACATGAACTGTGGTACCGTTGCAGTGTTATCCTTACTAGGAAATAGGTAGCTTTCAAAAATCCTATGCTCAATGCAAAAAAACAAGGTTTGTTGGCTTGTTTTCTGTGTCATGGAGGAAGGCAGGTAGGAGGGATGCTAAGCAACTGAACCTGTCAAACAAGCACTTCATGTGTGTTAACATGGAGCTTAGCATAGCAAAGCAGTACTGCTTCCTTTTTGATTAAAGAATCTATGATATTCCACTATGCCTTCCCTATGACTTAGAGTATACCTCCCAAAAATGGGACAAGGGGAATCTATAATAATGCCTTCAGAGTAGATCTAAAAGATAAGAGAGACAGGGATTCCAGGGAACCCTGCTTAAAAAGTAGCTTTTCAGAGTTTGTGATCTGCCACTTAGCTCCTTGTGTTGAAGTCTTAGAAGCCCATTCTTTCTCTGAGACTTTTGAATGTAAAGAAGATATTCAGAAAATGCTCTTAGCTTCAGGGAGAAGATCAGGTTTGTTACTGGGTGAATCCACTTGCGAAAATTACTTTGTGGTAACTTCATGATGAATTCTCTAGGCTTATTGAAGACTAAGCACTCAGCTGCATCCTTTATACCTCTCGCCTGTTCTTGGCAAAGGAGAGCGCTGAATATGATGCGTTAAATGGTTTCTTCTGGTGGTCTTCTAACTCTGCTCTTGGCTGTCATGTTCTGTTTATCACTGTACTATACTGTTTCCTTAAGAGTTTGTGTGAACTGAAAACTTTGTTTTATATTATCAGCAATGCCACTGTGCTGTTGCATATTAAGTTCTCATCCTAGACCTGAAAAAACAGTCAAACTACAAATAGCTTCCCCTGAGCCACTGGCATATATGCCTTTATAAGGAAGCAAATACATAAAAACATGAATGGTTAGAATAGTTAAAATGGTAGCTCTTTGAAATGTAAAACCTGAACAACCTCTTCAATGCCTAGATTTGTCTTTCCTCATGCTTTTGAGGCATTGGATTTTTTAAAGTACTTCTTGTTCAAAGTATAGGGTTTATAATGGTTTTATTGAACAGTGGCTAAAAATCTAGGTTGTAATGAAATATTTTTAAGAAAACTAGAAATTAACAAGCAGTTGTGGTAATCTGCAGTTTAATTTCATAAATAAGGATTGAGAACATGAAAATAACTAGTCCATTGCATAAAACAGTAAACAAAAGTTGTTTGATTCCTGATTTAATAAAATTCTCAGTAAAATAAATATTGGATACTGAGGTATAAGACTAAGTACTGTGATCGTAATTAATACGGCAATATTTGTAGGTTTTGTGTGCATTTACCTCTTGTCAATATCTTCAGCCTACTCAAATCCATTTCTTCTGGAAGGCTGACAGAGAAAATAGTTCTTTTAAGTAATTTTTCTTTAGAAGTATAACTTGAAGGTTAGATTATTAAACTTACAAATTACCCTATTTCCTTATTAAAAATCCCAGTACACGTTCTCTCCAGTTTGCCTTATTTATTTGTGGGAAAACATACTGTGAGAAGACTAAACTGAATTTGGAATCAAATATTTAAATTTTGGAATACAACACTGAAGCTTGGAACTGTGAAAAAGATTAAGTTCTTCTGTCTGACTGCAATCATTATGTTTCAGGCACAGATAGTCTTACTGGTGATCCTCATACTTGCTATTGGAGACTTTGTCATTGGAACGTTTATTCCTTTGGATAGCAAGAAGCCTAAAGGTTTCTTTGGTTATAAAGGTATGTTGGAAGAGTTAGTGTTGTAAACAATATCTTTGCAAAGAGTAGATATCCTATCATAATTAAATTAAACCTATAAAATAGCTTATAGTTCCATTTAAGTATAGAGATACTTTTTTTTCTTTTTTTAACCTGATTCTTCCAAACTTCTGCAGTTTTGGTCCTTAAAGCTATGAGGCCAAAAATTGGTCCTGTCTACTTAACATTGATTCTATTAAATCTAAAAAAGCTGGATGGTACTATATTTTTTCTGGTTTTAAAAGATGTTTAATTATTGTGTTGACTGAGTTGAAATGATGAGCTAGGACCTAAATGTTATATGCTTAGTTTTAAGAAGGTCATACAGCTGTGACTTTCAGCTTTTTCATGGAGATAATAATGGATGGAATGGGCTAATACTGTAGCTTCTCTACAAATATTGATATACTTAAATCTCTTTCTACAGCTGAAATATTTATGGAAAATTTTGGTCCAGACTTCCGACATGAGGAAACTTTCTTTTCTGTTTTTGCTATTTTCTTCCCTGCTGCAACTGGCATACTTGCTGGTGCAAATATCTCAGGTGATCTTGCGGTGAGTAGTGAAAGAGAAAATACTGTTCACAAACATTGAGTATGCATTTATCTCTGTCATCACTGTCCACTGACATTTTTCTTTCAGGATCCTCAGTCAGCCATACCTAAAGGAACGCTGTTGGCCATCTTAATTACTACATTGGTTTACGTAGGAATTGCAGTATCTGTAGGTAAATAGAGAATGTTTTTAACTTTTACATTCTTTCTGAGGGTGTGTTTTGATGCGGTTTACATAATTCACTATGTAAAATCATTATGTAATAGACTTTCATGTGTGGGAAAGTAATAGCCAGAGGTTTCTGATTTTTATTGTTGGAGGTTCAATATTCAGCTGATTTTATAATTTCCTAAGATGAGTGATTTTTTTTTTTTTGTGGGCTTTTTTTGTTTTTTTCCCCTAAGACTAGTGACCGCTTGAAGCAGACTAAAGCACAAAAGACTTCTGGTGGATCTTTCCTCATTTGTTACAGTTACTTATGTTAAAAGATTTACAGTTTAGCAGTGGGATAATCCCTGAATTAGAAAAGTGAGTTTTCAGAAAATACTTGCTGAACAAACACCTGTATTGGTTTGAAGATGATGATGGCCAGGTAGTCAAAGTGAATTGTGGGATGATCAAAGAGCTCTTCGGTAAGGATGCAGGAGCAGTAATTCGCCAGTAAAAGGAGTGGAGAGAGTAGTGACTTCATCTGGCCAGCTCACTTTTGGAAGTGTTGTCATGTTCAGAAATGTTACAATTTCCTGAAGTTTTATTTTCATGTGGAAAGATTAGCACAATAATAGACTGACCTGGATCTTGTATAAACCTCTCTTCCTGGTCTTCCCCACCCCACAGAGGTTTGAAATTCTTTGTAGGATTTGCCTTGGGTTTTGATGCTCCTATATCAGTGTTGCTCCAAAGCATCAGTGGTCAACCAAGTTTTTTTCCCACTGATAGGATTACTAGAAGAGAATTATTCTAAGAACTTCTTATTGCTGAGCAAAAAGTAAGTTGAAGGGAGACCTTAATGCTCTCTACAACTACCTGAAAGGAGGTTGTAGTGAGCTGACTGTTGGCCTCTTCACCCAAGTAACAAGAATTAGGGCAAGAGGAAATGGCCTTAAGTTGTGCCAGGGTGGTTTAGATATTAGGAAAAATTTCTTCCTCAAAAAGGTTGTCAAGCATTGGAACAGGGTTCCCAGGGAAGTGGTGGAGTCACTGTCCCTAGAGGTATATAAAAGATATGTAGGTGTGTCCACCATCTAAACAACTTGGTCTAGCGGTGGACTTGCTAGTGTTGGGTTTGCCCTTGGCCTTGATGATCTTAAAAGTCTTCTCCAACCTAAGTGATTCCATAAGATAAGATTGTAATAATATCTCACATATTTCTTCCCTGTGGTTTGGAAATGTTACTAGTATAATACAGTTTCTGGCAGCAGTAATCAGTTTTCACCTTGCCTTATCTTAGCTGTGCTGCCTTTTGAATGAAATTCTCATAAGAGTACCATTGAACTTACTGCTAATGATACTTCCTTTCCAAAGATACCAATCTTGCTAGTCTGCCTCTGTTGGCTAACATTGTACTGAGCTCTGCCAGATTGTTGCTCTGTAGTGATTGTGCTCTATGCAGCATAATGACCTACACTTATTTCCTAAATAGTTTGACCACATAGACCTCTGCTACCAAATTTGAATACTTTAGAACTTTAACCCACATGAGAGCGAAGTGCTCATTAAAATTCATTTGATCATGAAATAACCATTTTTCAAACATGAAAAACCTAATTTTTTGTACTGCAAAAGGAGCATCTTGCAAAACCAACTGAACATGAAATTGTTTGATGCGTCAGACATGTTCTGCCTTAGTTGCCTTCTATAACTTACACTTAGAATTCTTGTAGTTAGAAAAGCCCAGTGCTATTGTAGAAGATTGATGTGAGTGAAATTTAGGGTGTTTTTGAGCTGTTGGATCAGGGATCAGACAAATACAAATACTTCTGTTCCTTTCCCCACACACACTATTCCCCCACTCTAAATTTCCAAAGTAGTGATAAGCGCGTCATTATAACTTAGAAAAGGCTAGTAAATGTCAGTGAGTAGTCATGTCTGAAGGGGAAGATGATGTTCTGAATTTAGCTCAGTATCTGCATGCTCTGTACTAAGTAAGAGGGTTAAACTGAGTAACTGAGTAGAGAAGGCTTAGAAGGGGAAAACTGCTAGACCTGCTGCTAGAGCTAGACAGCCTATTTCAAACAACAACTGTGAGGAAAAAGTATGCAGTTCCGTATTTTAGCAAGGGACTAACACAGAGACGCAGGTGGCAGGATGAAGACTGCATAACCAACTTCTGTATCAAAATTCTTGAAAGATGTATCTCAAAGAAAAACATTCACTGCTTTAAAACCAAGGGAAGCTCTTACTAAAATACCCTGAGTCGTAACTCCTGAATAGGGTTATGACATGCTCTCTGTACACAGGAAAGTAAAATTAATTAGAGGCTAACTGTATCTGTTTGTGGCACCTGAGAAGTTAAACACTCTCAACTGCAGTCTCAAGGACTTGGTGTTGCATCTCTGGAATCCTTGCTGGTTGTATGGAGTTAGGAGGTCTGTTCACCTGAGGCTTATAACATGGCAAAACTGCTTTGGCAGGAATATGTTTATAAATGCCTTTCCTGTTTTTACAGGAAAGAAGGCATAAAGGTTCTTAACAAAAATGTTGTCAGAATCTTATGAATAAATAAAATGTTTCAGTTAACCCTCAGTCATAAAAGTCTGGGACTTTTACTTACATCTAGATATCTTCTGCTGAGAGTGGAGCCTGCCCAGCTGGCTTCTCTTCTGCGTTCTCTCATAGTAAGGCTCACATTAAGTTTGTTCATAGTATGAAGTTTGTTCATAGTATGATTATCCCTGTCTATTGTACTTTGATTCTGTGTGTGAAAGACTTGCCAGCAAGTTGGCTCTGAACTCTGGAGAAGGGAATGAGGAATAGGAGGGCTGTGATAGTGCATTGTAGCTATTTAATGAGTTGCTCAACTTAATGGGCCTGCCACTCCAATCTACCAACAAAATGTTATCTACAAATAATTCTCCTAGTAAGTATATTGTCACATATGTTATATATTGCTTGAATGCTGGGGCAAATGCTTGTGTAGTAAAAAGAAGAAACTTTCTCATACAGAGCTTTTACTCTCATTTAAAACAGAACAACAACCAAAAAAAGACACAGCCTGTCTATGTACCCACAAGAAAAGCATGACAGATGATCAATATAGGAAACTCTTACTGAAATTGAACCAATTTGGCCTAATAAGTAACTGAAAAATAAATCTTAAGAAGTGGGAGGATTAAGTAATGTCCACCTACCAGCTATCATTGTGGACTGTTGTTAACACCTCAGAAGCAATCTAAACATGCTATGTAGGTATTTAGAAGTTAATTTTCCTAATGAAAGACAAAATACATAGATCATAGGGATTGTTAGAGGAGAAACTTAAGCTTGCAGCACATCTGTATCCTCCTTTTCATTTTGCAAGTAATCTAGGTCCTCAGTAGTGACAGGGTCCTGTTCCCAGGATCTCCTTGTCATTCAAGTTCCTGAAGGACCAAATTAAGGCAATTCTATTGGATACTGCTCTATAAACTTCTCTCTTCCTCACTCCTTATTTAATTCATTTTCCTGGAAACATTTGTTGGTATCCAAACAATCTTAACTACTTCAACTATTAAACCATAGATTGTTAATAATATTTAGTCTGCTCTAGTTTGTTGTTCTTTAAGACAAAAAAACCTTGAAGCAGAAGACTTGTGAGCTTTGTGGTACTTTTTTTTTTTTTTTTCAGTAAATAAGAGGTGAAATGCTATGCCTTCAGCATTTTCTTGACTAGTCAAATTATAAATAATCATAGATAAATTGAAGACATAAATACTCAAATTATAAATAATCATAGATAAATTGAAGACATAAATTCAAGTGATAAAATGAATTGCAAAAAATGTGGTAGCAATGGGATTGTCCAGCTTTGTTTTTCACCAAGAAACCAAAATAAAATACCACACAAGAGGTGGCTTGTTTTAGTGTTGGGAAATGCAAGAGGCTTTCATGACAAGCTGCTTAATTTTTTTGAATGTCGGAGCATAACAGTGGGAAAGAAGTAACAGCAAGACTGTGCATACTTGTCTACATACAGTTGTACATACATTACTAAAATGTGTTCCTCTAGGAAAACTGACAAAAAGAGAAACTATAAAATCAAGTGATGTTGAATAATACTAACTTAAATTAAAGAGCTGTGTGGAAACTCATTCTTCAGAAATAATATGTTGAACTAAAATTGTGCAGTTAGCTTTTGCATGTCTATTGACATTATTTTCCTCTGTGCTAAAACTTCCCTTTCTTACTAGATTTAGATTTATTCAAGGCAAGAGAGCAATTAGTTTGCTTGTTTATATTTGTTCCTCACAATGAAGATGCGCTTAGTACTGAAATGTATTAAAAATGTAAATGCTGTATTTTAATGTTGCTCTGTGAGACTGTGTGTACATAAAAAGGGAATTGAGCATGACAGGTGCTTAAGTTCACGTTCAGCCTATTTGTGCTTTTTTTTATTTTGTTGCTGTGTTCACTCTAGGTTCCTGTGTTGTGCGGGATGCCACAGGGAATGTTAATGACACCATTGTCACGGAGCTGATGAATTGCACTGCTGCAGCTTGCAAATTAAACTATGATTTCTCATCCTGTCAGCCAGGATGTCAGTATGGGCTGATGAACAATTTCCAGGTATAAAACTTTCTCCTAAATCTGTTTATTAGCTTTTTTGTTTGTTCTTTTTTTGAATTGCATACCACAGAAAACCAGGCTAAAAATAATACGATCTATATGGAATAGTTAAGCAGTATGCTTTAGCTAGTATGCAGAAGAACGATGTCTGCAAAGAATTTTTGGGTGTTATACATAGGTGATAGAAGTATTTAATGTGAATAAGCTGCTTAGTTTGGGTGGTGGGACTGTAGCTTTCTCTCTAGGTATCTGAATGCTATCATTCAGTGGCATGGGTAGATGTACTCATTGTTCAGTAGTCATGCATAGTATTCATAGGCAGCCTCTCTCAGTAACTTGTTCCTTAATTTTAAGTTTCTTAGAAAATATGCTGACTTTTTAAAGAATATTTTACTTATCTGTCACAGTATCCTCTTTAATGGTGAAACTGTTGTCAGTTTTCATAAAACCAGATGTTACTGAATTAAAAAAATCCTCTAGAAGCCATGGGGTAATTCACAGTCTGCAACTTACACTTCACAGGTAATTAGGTGTCCATGTACTACTGGTCAGGGTTTGAAAGAAACTACTAAGGAGGGCATACTTGTTGCTGATTGATTTAAACTTCCTTTACCATAAATTTTTCCAGCATGTGCACAAAAAGTTGGCTAGAGACTAAGATGAAATCCACAAATGAGATAGGTGTCTGGCTCATGGGTTTTGGTTAGAATTATGTGGTACCTCTGCTGCTTACATGTGGTACATGTACTCCTGTCCTGCAAAGCTGGGTGGAAAACCTGTTTGGTACATGCTGAAATAATGCTGCAGTGCAGAGCATTCTGTAGAGTAAAATTAGAGTAGACTTTGCTTTTTCTGATTTAGAAACATTTCAGAATGGTTGTGGGAATAATTCTGCACAATCAGATGACTCCCCTCATTTGTTTACGCTCAGAAGCCCCCAGTATGTTGTCAGATGTACAGCTGAGAGCAGCGTGGAACTGATTTTCTTTGCATCTTTAAGTAATAAATACCATAAATGTTGCTTGTACTTCCAGTAAGTTAGACATTAATGTTCTAGTTTCTTAACATTTGATCTAAAGAATACTTCTGTCTCCCAGATTAGTCTTTCTTCTCTCTGTGGACAAACTAATGGGTTCTGAATTGGAAAAGTCATTTTCAAGGCCAGGCGCTGCACAGTTAATGCGCTGCTCCTTGTGGCCCCTTTTCTAGGGGAGATTTGAAAACTTCATTACGGAGACTACACAGGATCTCTGGATTCTAGGGGAGGTTTGAAAACTTCATTATGGAGACTACACAGGATCTCTGGACAACCTGCTGCAGCACTTAGCCACCTTACGTGTGGAATTTTGTTTTTCTAGTTCCCAGCTTGACTTTTCCTTGCTGTTTGTTTTCTTTCTTATCCTCACTGCTTTTGCTGTGTATCTCTGACAAGAGTCTGAGATTCTGTTTTCTGAGATGTTAGAAGGAAATTGTTTGCATGAGAAGCTACCTGTACATAAACTGTTGTCCATTTTCTGACTGAACTGCCCTCAGCTTAGTAGCTCTGAAAGAGAGCTTTAAGAAGATGCTTTTTGCTTTTGGGTTTTGTTTTTTTTACATGCAGGTCACAGGGAGAATGCTCCAAACTTTTGTACCTCTCCAGCTCATCATACAAATGTAAATTCTTTCTGTAGGTAAAGTAACTGGCAACAAATACTTCACTAACATAAATTAATCCATAAAGTGAGTGAAGATGGTTGTATTTATTTATCTTACAGTTTGTAAGCATGTAGGTTCTGAGGCTGAAAGCATCAGCTTACTTCAGCCTGATGACTTTATCAGTGCAGTACACTTCCTGCTGTATTCAGTTCTTTTGGCAAAGAATTAATTTGAAATTAGTGCTTAGGTAGCTTGTGTTTTGAATGAGGTTGGGCAGCAAGTGGATGACTCGTAGAATGATTTACCTCTGAAAAGCTTAGATGATGCTAAGAAATGTAAATTGAGAACAGCTGATGAAACAGGCTTAGTCAGACTGTCATAGAAAGATCATCTTTAGTTTCTGTTGTAGTCATTGCAAATGAATGAAGTCCTCACAGGCTTCAGACATTTCTCTGCTCAGTGTCAGTGATATTTCTGTGCCCAGGCTGTCATCTGTTTTCGGCTCTGTAGTCTCAGCTTTGGAACTGCCCCAGATTAAGGTATGGCTTTGGGCAATCTAAATGCAGGATCTAGTCAACTTTGGATGAAAGTTGAAAGTACATGAAATTCCAGTTCAGAAGCAATGTAAAAGTTCTCCTAAAACATTCTTTCTGCAAAAGAAGGCAGTTGTGAAACATCTGAAAAAGTTAGGGGGAGGGTGAGTTTAGCAATGCTTTGTCCATACCCATTATAAAAATAAAACTTTAAAGAAGCTGCTGCTTGTTTTCATGTTGCATTTTTTTTTTCTGCTCCACAATGGCTGTACCAAATAACAGAAACTGTAGTCAAGATACTTCATTATCCCAAATCTTAGAAATTTAGGGAACTGTCTGAAGAGCAAATGGCGGACAAACATAACGAGTCCCTTATCACTAGTAGCTGTGACTATCCCATAGCTATCTGTATCTCGCTCATAGCAGTATCTGTCTTGACATGCGAGTGGTAACAGGGCAGTTTTTACAAGATACCTGTCCTTCCATTTCTCTGTTCTTTCAAGGTGAAAATCTCAGTGCTATAGCTAACAGCATATGTGGGCTCCTAGTTTTTTGTGGTTAAGAGGTTTAGATTATGGTGTGTATGCTGGGGGAGAGGGGAGGGTTTCTGCTGGAATTGGTTTCCCTTTTATTAGCTTAAATGAAGCTTCCTAATGTCTTCTTACATTCTAGCTTTTAAAATGAGCAAACATTATCTGCTTACATCTTACTTAGATTTCTCTCAAATAATGGATGTAATACTTACAAGTAGTGTAAAGAAATGGAAGTAATGAAGAACATGTATAAAGAGAGTAAAATCCGAGTGGATTGTAAGAATGAGAGTGCAAGAAATTGATGCCAATGTAGTAAAGTGAAAGCGTCAAAATAACTGTGTTTTAAATTGGATGGGAAGAAAAGTGATGGTGACTTGCACACAGATTCTGTCCATACAAAGTCCTTCCAGGGAAGATAGATTGAGCCGTCCTTGCAGGGAGGAAAATTTTCATGCTGCTTCTACAAAGATTATTTTGTGCTGGTTTATTACGTTGCTAGAGAAAAAGTTTCTTTCTAAAATATTTCAGCACAGCCTTTACACCCTGAACTTCTCTTTTAGAAATACAGTGTAGGGTTATTACAAACTGGCATTTACAGCTAACTTTTTCTGTTGATCATACAACTAACTTTTTCTGCTGATCATTAAAGTAACTTAAACCTTAAATTTACCTTAAGTAAACTTAAACTCCCCTTCAGGGGAGATAATGTATGTGTCATTAGTTTTATTCATCTGTGAAAAAATGCCTCTTCTGACTTTTTTTTTGTTATTGGTTGTAGATATGCTTCAGGAAATTCTCTCCGTTCATTATGGTTCTATGACAGCTACTTCGGTCTCATCTTATGCACCTGCAATTATTTAATCCCTCTTTTTAGGCAGCACATACCTTAAACTAACCAGTGAAACCTGATGTAATTTAGAGGTTCAGTTGACTGAGAAACCCAGCGGTCTGTCAGTCTGTTTTGAAGAAAAGCACTGAATTTTGTTGTTAGCTTAGCCCTAGGAGTATGAATAAAACTTCATCAGTCACCTGTATATTGTTTCTGAGAGCATGTTCTACCTAGATAAGATTGCTGTAGACGGATAGATTTTACATCTTCAGGTGACCGTAACTTAACAGTAGCATACAGGGTCTGTGTGATCATTCTTGCCTTTGTTCAGTCCTTTTCCTGATACTGTAGGTGAGGTTGAGGATGAAGGAAGCAAGTAGTCAGTGCAAATGATGCAGAACCTCATTCTGACACATTATGCTTTAAAGGCACCATGCTGGGTTTGATCCATTAATGAAAACCATAAGCTTTTTCAAGATAGAGTCTTTAATACTGTCTATCTTCAAGCAGCTTAGGCTTTTCTTTCATAAAGAAAATAACTATTAAACCATGATAGTATTTTAAACGTGTAGTTCTCTATCTTCACTTGAAATAGGCAAAGCTGGATGCAGCTAGGGTATGGAAGTAATCAGTAGAATGGTAGAAGATGGTCTTCAGGCTATATGGAAATTAGAAGCTGCTTTTGTCCTAATTTGGGACATTTTTTAGTCTTAACATTGCTCTTTTACATTTAGCTTACTGAGCATCCCTACCAAGAATTGTATTTCACTTACTGGCATTACAAAGATATCCTAGGGTGTGATCTTGGGGAGACAGGAAACAAGTTTGTCCTGTCTTTTTTATTTTGAATGAGAAGCAAGTCTAACTTAAGAGTTATGGAGATGCTAAGAAAGACAATCACCCTTCCCAAAATTCAGTTGATTTGTCACTTGGGCTTTCTGAGACCATGCTATCTAGTGGTAGGCTAGTCAGAATATGTAATAAATATATTTTTCTTCCATGACTTATTTTTAATCCTTTTATGAGCCTATGGGAGACTTACGCCATTGATTATTCTGACCCAAGAATTACACGGTTGCATTGTACTTTGTGTAAAAAGCCACCTTCTCTTGTTCTGAAATTAGGATCCATTTATATACGTTGATTTGTCTGTAGGTCATTTGTTGATACAAATGCATGATAATCAAATAGCTTTTAAGTGAAGAGTGCATAGTATTTTATTCTGTTTGTGTAGTTAATGTTGTTGTCCATACGTACAGTATACTTTTTTAATGTTATTAAAAAAATAATTATATTGCTTTCAGGTAATGAGCATGGTGTCAGGATTTGCACCACTGATTTCTGCAGGTATTTTTTCAGCCACCCTGTCTTCTGCATTAGCATCTCTTGTGAGTGCACCCAAGATCTTCCAGGTAAGGATGGAAGCAAAACCATCATCCTTTAAAGAATAACTGCGGTCAACTTTTGAATCAAAATTTTTGGAAGGGGACTCTTGACAAACTGCTGTCGTGGCTCAGACCAGTTGACAGCAGCACATTGATCTGATATTTACCTCTTGCTTAGAATAGGAAAATAATGTTTAACTGTTAATAAATGTTAGCTAGACCAGAATTTCTTCCAGATCTGATGTGTTTATGATGAATTCGGAGATTAGTTGGGGTGTAACTAACAGCAGTCTACAAACATCTTTATGATGTTTTTTATTGTAAGTGACAGTGGAGGACATACAAAGAGAACAGACTAATTCATTTCTCAGAGTAATCACAGAAGGACACAGCTTGAAATAGAACCTGTAGCTGTGGAACCTCAGTCCTTAGGGATTGCATTATGAAAATAATTGTGTACCGGTTCTCATGTAAATAATTTACATTGATTACCTTGTCTCCCTGAATGTGTTTTGCTTTTACTTCTTTTTAACCATTTGATCTTATTCTTTTGTCTTAAAAATTCTTTCTAATTGGGTACAGCCGTAGTGTCCTGTAATGATCTTATTTCCCAGCAGTTCAGTAGGGAGTCAAACATGGAAGAGATTTTGTTGAAGAATAGAAGCACAAGTGTTGATGCAGAGAACTAGTGTATGCATTGGGCAAGCTTTTCACTTTTTGAGAAAACATTGTCTCTAAAGAAGGATTCTTTGTGACTGTAAGACACCAGTTAAGTAAAATAGGCAGTTACTTACAGAAGAAAAAAATTTGTTGTTCTAGACAGAAATTACTGAAGGATAGAATACTGGAAACAGAAGGTGTCAAGATGCAAGACAGTTCAGAATAGAATTAGTACATGGTTGTAAAAAACCTTTCAGGAAGATAATATGCAGTGGGAGATAGCATTAGTAAGTATATAGTTTGAACAAAATGCATCCTGACTCTTGGAATTTCATTTTTTCTTAGGCTTTGTGCAAGGACAACATTTATCCAGGATTTCAGATGTTTGCTAAAGGCTATGGGAAGAACAACGAGCCACTGAGAGGATATCTTCTAACATTTTTAATTGCTCTTGGATTCATACTAATTGGTTAGTTTGAAATTATTATAAAACTCAATATCTTTTTGTCCTTTATGAGGCATTCAGTTTCATATCATGACTGGCAAACAGTGTCCTGAGGTCTCATGCACAGCTTGATTCTAAGCCAGCATTCAAAAATCTTTTTATTTTGAGAGTTACTTTTCTCCTCTCTTCTAGCTATAACTCTGTCTAGAACTGCAGTAGATATGAATTGAACTGTAGCAATCTGTACTTCTCTTGATAATAGCAGGTATCTCTCTCTGGATACTGTCAATAAAAATACATCTTTTGCTTGAGGTAGAGAGATGTTACATCTTGTAAATACGGTAGCTTATTTCATATTTTTAATAATTACAAACAGCTCAGTAAACAAACTTGCATGAACAATACTTTTTAAACTGTTTTTTTCTATTAAGTTACAAATAATAGAGATGAGTGCTGATGCTGCTATGCTAAAGGTAAAGATAGTCTAGGTAGAATTACATGTGCTCTATCTAGATGGCAAACTAATTGTGCTGTGTCCATCCAAGAGTCCTGTACCAGTACTTTTAAATTTTTCTTCCTCAGTTTGCTCTTTCATCCTTCCCCCTACGTCTCCTTAAGGTACAGGTATACACATGATGTCCCTATGCAGCGTGCTGATTAGAAACTTGCTTACAACAAGTAGAAACTTGCACACTAACATGGCACATTCTGCATTTTGGTCGTTTTTTTGATGGTGAGAGTACACACGTTTTCTACCATGCTCCTCAAGGAAAGGAGAGCATCAGGTTCTTCCAGCTCTCACACTAAAGAGGGTGTACTCATCAGTGTTACAATGGTAGTCGACTGTAATATAGTGGTATATTAGTACCACTGATGAAACTTTTCATTTAGAATGCAGGTAGAATAACATGTTTGTTCCACTGCTCACACTAACTTCGTTTGCTGCTGCCATTCACCGTAGTTGATAGTCTTTTAAACTTATTAGTGTCTCATTCTTTGCTGTTTGAAAATTGAGCTAGAGATGTACTATATATGTATTAATGCTCTGTCTGATGTTTCTGACATTCTTCAGAACCCAGTATATTAATGCACTGTTTGATAAAGCTATGGTGGGGAAAGAAATCCTTTCAATTAATTATTTTGAGGAAGTATGTAGTGCTTCGTAAGTGGCAGTCCTGGAACACTTAATAGTGTGGAAAAATGTTTATTTTTGAAATGGAAAGTTATGCTTTGTATTAGGAGATAACATAGCTAATAAGAGACCATTAAAATAATAGCTCTATCTGAAAAGAAGAATGAACTGCTGCTTCTTAGAGTACATCAGAAAACAGGTTTGTTGTCGCAGATTTTTTTTTTACTCTGGAATCTACATGATATCTTTTATAACAGCCTGCTTTGTGTTTGCTTTTACAGCTGAACTGAATGTGATTGCTCCAATTATTTCTAACTTCTTCTTGGCGTCATACGCCTTGATTAACTTCTCTGTATTCCATGCTTCTCTTGCAAAATCTCCAGGTAGGAACTACATTTTGGGGGGTGAGGGTTTAGCCTGAAATTTCCTTAAGCATAAATACAATATAAAAGGTATTACTATAAATGAGTGTTTAATTTAGTTACTAAGTATCTGTTTGATTCTCATGATGCATCTGTATTATAAGGTTAATACTGTGTATACCTGGGTCTTCTGAAATTTTGAAGACTGAGTGATCCAGTGCAGTTTGGGAGCTACTAATTTTGTTACCTTTGCTCAGGGAAGACAAGATAATTCAGAAACTCTTGAAGAAAGGTTTTTTTGTTAATTCTGTATATGATGTTAAAGAATTATCCAGGACATCTTTGGATGTCTTGTTAATGTTTCTTCTTCCAGTCCATGAGAAACTGGAATTGCAGGTGGTATTGCCACATTCTTATACTCTTTGGTGTGGGAGGCTAGTTAGCAAACAGGAGTAAACCAAAACCCAGTACCATCTGTAGAATAGATGTGTATCATGCCCAGCCCACTATGCATTTGTACTGAAATAATGCCCTTAAAATCTTCTTAAGTTACTGAACAGGTAGATACAATTATTTTTCAAGAACACGTGCATAGTCTGTTTACACAACAGTTCTACGTGTAATATACTTGCTAATCTTGGGTGTGTTAGTGGGGGTATGCATGTGTGTTCACCTGATTTTGGATAAACTTGTGACAAATAAGGGTATAAAACAGTGACAGTCCAGTATTTTGACATATTCAAGTTATACTTAGATATAGCTGTCCTTTGGCCTTTCATGTGTGAAAATTTCTGGACATGTAAAAATAAACCACTAGAAACAGTAGTCTGTGAGAGAGCAAGTCCATAAGCTAACAATTCATGTTATACTACCCTTGACAGCAGAAATCAATTGTCAGGCAAGCTATTGCCAAAGGTTCCTGTAGCTGTATTTGATAAATACATTTACATAAAGATCTTCAAAATTTCCATTTGAGATAAACTTTTAGAGGGCAAAATTAGGAACGTTGACATATCCATGTAAGAAAGATATGAATTCATTCTATAAGTGTTGGAAAATCGAAAGCATAAATGTGGCAAAGTATGTATTTTGTACATCACTGTCAGACATTCATATGAAATGTGATACAGAACACTTGGGAAGGAAAAGAGGAATCACACCTTCCTTCTCTTTGAGTGATGATTAAATTAATTTCCTCCTTCTTTTCTATCCCTCAATTTATATTTTGCCTAGGTTGGCGCCCTGCGTTCAAATACTACAATATGTGGATTTCGCTTCTTGGAGCTATTCTGTGCTGCATTGTGATGTTTGTTATTAATTGGTGGGCAGCACTTCTAACATACGTCATAGTCCTTGGACTCTACATTTACGTCACATACAAGAAACCAGGTGTGTATATGGGTTTCTTTTGGTTGTGATGGGGGAAAGAGAGATGTAGAAGAAAGGGGGGAAAAAAAAAGGTCTTTAGTGGGGCAGAGAGGAGGGAGAACTGGAAAACTCCTGTTTGGCTGAGTAGTTCAAACTTCTGTTTCAGGCTTTTTAGTTGTAATGGAACATAATTATGCCTGTATAGTCACTATTATTGTTCCCCCTGCTTCAAGTTATCAAGGTGCATAAACTCAGACATAAACATTTGAATGAAAATTGGAGGAAAAGGTACACATGGAAAGAACTTGGGTTGCAGCAACAAAGGCTCTAGGAAAGCATGTTATGTTTTGTAAGGAAATGAAAGAGAATGCTTTTATCAATCCAGATTGAAAAGGGATTTGAGAGGTGGTGGGGTTTTTTATTTTCAGTAAACTGTTCCTATAGCTATGAACAACAAATCATATTAGACTTTCTTCCCTCTTCTAATAACACTGTATTATCATAAGTGCAAGATGGAGCAGGATGGAACCAGAAAGTGTTCCTGAGGTTGAAAATAAGGAAAACCCTGCATCCTGGGCTATGAAGATTAAGTACTTGGATGACAAATTCAATGTAGCTATCAAAGATGTATATGGGACCAAACAGAAAGGATACTGGGATCTTTCCTTTCCTTGTAAAATTAATCTTTGCGATCATGAGATGCTCGAATTTGAGATCCTGAGGACAGTGAGAAGGGCGTGCAGCAAGCTCACTGCCCTGGACTTCAAAAGAGCAGACTTTGGCCTCTTCAGGAACCTGCTTAGGAAGGTTCCATGGGATACAGCCCTAGAGGGCAGGGGGGCCCAAGACTGTTGGTTGATATTCAAGGATCACCTGCAGCAAGCTCAGGAGTGTTGCATCCCAACCAGAAGGAAGTGCAGCAGGAGGGCCAGGAGACCTCCTTGGATGGATAAGGAGCTGCTGAGGAAAATTCAATTGAAAAAAGAGGCTTATAATAAGTGGAAGCAAGGACAGGCGGCCTGGGAAGAGTACAGGGTTGTTGTCCGGGAAGCTAGGGACCAGGTTAGGAAAGCTAAGGCCCAGTTAGAATTAAACATAGCTAGAGGTATTAAAGATAACAGGAAGGGATTCTACAGGTACATAGCAAATAAAAAACAGACTAGGGAGAACGTAGGCCCCCTCAGGAAGCTCTCAGGAGAACTGGCTACACAGGATTTGGAGAAGGCTGAGGTTCTGAATGACTTCTTTGCCTCAGTCTTCACTGCCAAAGGCTCTGACCACACCACCCAAGTCTTGGAAGGCAGACACAGGGACTGTGAGAATGAAGACCTTGCGCCCACTGTAGGAGATGATGTGGTTCAAGACCATCTTAAAAATCTGAACATGCACAAGTCCATGGGTCCTGATGAGATCCATCCATGGTCCTGAAGGAGCTGGCAAATGAAGTTGCGAAGCCGCTGTCCATCATATTTGAAAAATCATGGCAGTCAGGTGAAGTTCCTGATGACTGGAAATAAGGGAAATATAACCCCCATTTTCAAGAAGGGGAAAATGGATAACCCAGGGAATTACAGACCAGTCAGTCTCACCTCTGTGCCTGGCAAAATCTTGGAGCAGATTCTCCTGGGATCAGTCTTGTTTAACATCTTTGTCAGTGACATGGACAGTGGGATTGAGTGTGCCCTCAGCAAGTTTGCCGATGACACCAAGCTGTGTGGTTCAGTTGATATGCTGGAGGGAAGGAATGCCATCCAGAGGGACCTGGACACACTTGTGAGGTGGGCTGATGCCAACCTCATGAAGTTTAACCAAGCGAAGTGCAAGGTCCTACACCTGGGTTGGAGCAATCCCAGGCACAGCTACAGGTTGGGCAGAGAAGAAATTCAGAGCAGCCCTGCAGAGAAGGACTTGGGGGTGTTGGTTGATGAGAAAATGAGCATGAGCCAGCTTCAGTGTGTGCTTGCAGCCCAGAAAGCCAACCGTATCCTGGGCTGCATCAAAAGGAGCGTGACCAGCAGGTCGAAGGAGGTGATCCTGCCCCTCTACTCTGCTCTTGTGAGACCTCACTTGGACTATTGTGTGCAGTTCTGGTGTCCTCAACATAAGAAGGACATGGAAGTGTTGGAACAAGTCCAGAGGAGAGCCATGAGGATGATCAGGGGACTGGAGCACCTCCTGTATGAAGACAGGCTGAGAAAGTTGGGGCTGTTCAGCCTGGAGAAGAGAAGGCTGCGTGGAGACCTCATAGCAGCCTTCCAGAATCTGCAGGGGGCCTATAGGAATGCTGGGGAGGGACTCTTCATTAGGGACTGTAGTGGTAGGACAAGGGGTAACAGGTTAAAACTTAAACAGGGGAAGTTTAGATTGGATATAAGGAGGAAATTCTTTCCTGTTAGGGTGGTGAGGCACTGGAATGGGTTGCCCAGGGAGGTTGTGAATGCTCCATCCTTGGCAGTGTTCAAGGCCAGGTTGGACAGAGCCTTGGGTGATGATGGTTTAGCGTGAGGTGTCCCTGCCCATGGCAGGGGGGTTGGAACTAGATGATCTTAAGGTCCTTTCCAATCGTAACGATTCTATGATTCTATGAATGTTACAGAACTGTTTAATCTAGCAGTTTTTCACTGAAAGTATGTGACTTTGTTTAGGCAGTGTTTTGCAATTAGTTTTTTCTTTGATGCAATATAAAATAACTGAGCATGTCATTTTTCCCCTGAAGTGTGGGGTTTTTGTTCTGGTTTGGTTTCGTTGTGGTGGCTTTTTTTTGGGGGGGGGGTGGGGGGGGAGGGGTGGGGTTTTTTTGTGTTTTTTTTTTGTTTATTTTTCTGGGGGTTTGGGGTTTTGGGGGAGGGGTGTTTCTTTGTGTGTTTTCTGACTCTGAAGTTGACACAGTCTTTGAAATGCTGCAGGAGGGAAACCTCAGTTCTTTCTTCCTATAATTGTAAAATAGCAGACTCTCCTAATTTGTTTGCTAAAACTTCTACAGAAATGTTATCTTTAAATAGAATTTTCTACTTAGCTGTAGGGCTTGTTGACTAATACTGTGTAGAATGTACCACGATATATCTTAATTATTCTGTGTTTTTAGTTGGTATTTGACAGATTTTGTGATCATACAGTTTTACAATTAACAGTTTTAAGTTATTGGAACTTCAAATCTTCCAACAGATGTGAACTGGGGATCCTCAACCCAAGCTTTGACTTACTTGAATGCACTACAGCATTCTATTCGGCTCTCAGGAGTGGAAGATCATGTGAAAAACTTCAGGTAACAGTTAATATTAGAGACATATGAAATGTATTCAGTGGGGTACTATCACAGTGTTTGCTGTCATGGCTTCCATTATATGCCTCTTCATCTCCTGTGGGTTATAACAGCTTTAAATTTTATCACCATGGACATCTGCTGGACATATTTACATTAGTAGTTTATTTCTGATTAAGCAGCAAGTCTATGTGTGATGCATGCTTATTGTTAGATGCCTCATACTTCACACTCTTCTTTGATGAATTGTGAGATATGCTCCAAACTGCTCATGAGTATACAGTCTACATGCTTGGTATAAAACCAATCTAATGTAAAATTCCCAAAATATGTATGCTGTGTGTATTGCCTTCAACACCAGCTATTTCATGTTAGGCATATTCTCTCATGGGTAAACAGGCTATGCAAGTGTTTTTCACACAACTGGAGAACTGATTTTTGTCTTGCCAGCTTGGATACTCAGGAAGGTCCTACTGAAGGAGGCAGTTTTCAATCCTATAGTATTTACACCACTTTTCTGGAATAAGCTATTGTAGAAGAAAGATGTATCCAAAAATTTAACAAAAAATATTGACTTAAACTAATCCTCCAATTAAATAGAATCATAGACTGAATGTGACCTTACCATGTGGCCTTGTCCAGTCCCTGACTGGACACACCATAGATCTAGCTGGAAAGTTATATCCAACTTTCATCAATCTTTACTTAATACAGTGTTGTAAAAGTAGATGAGGTTGCTGCCTCTCCAGTGACAGTTATGTTCATATGGCCTATATTTAGAAGAAACTTCATTCTGTTAATAAAAAAACACAACTCCAGACAAAATGAATTGCAACATTTTATTTTTCCTTCTCTATTCACAATTCTAGACCTCAGTGCTTAATTATGACAGGTGCTCCAAGTGCACGTCCAGCTTTGCTTCACCTTGTCCATGCTTTCACCAAGAATGTGGGTTTGATGATCTGTGGCCATGTACATATGGTAAGTCTGTTCATCTGTACTTTAAAGTCACTTATGTTTTTGTGTGATGTTTTGTTGTTTGTTTTTTGTTTTTTTTTTTAAATCTGTTTGTGGTTCTTGTTTGTGTGGGTTTTTTCTGGTGACTTTTTATTTGGTTGGTTGGTTTTGGGGTTTTTGTTTTTTTTTCTTGGTTGGTTGGTTTTTTTAGAAGAAAGTGTCTTAAATATGGAGAAGTGCAAAACCAGAGATACTCTGGTAGGATCCACTCATGTATGGGTTATCACTGTTCCAGTTAGGTATACCACAGGGGAAACTTTGCAAAATTAGTACCTTTGGTCATTTGATGCTTAAATGCTTAGGAAGCCTTGTAGGAGTAAAGTGAATGTTAGATTACAGCCTGAGTCTCTTTCTGTCCTTGTGTAATACAGTCTCATGCTCTCTCTCATTCTTTGAACAGAGCAGTTGGTCAAAATGATGTGCAGTATACAGTTAGACTTCCTCTCAGTGTTACCATTTCAAGGGAATTGATAATCTCTGTAGATTTCTTAAAAATCCAGGCTAAAATAAACTTCGTTGAGCAGGAAATTCAGCTAGCTCAGCCAACAGATTAGCTCTCAACATTTCATGTAGATTTTTATTCCTTCATTACCAGATTCATTTCATTGGCAGGTGAAAAAGTAATGCCAACAGGCATTTCTTGTCCTGTTACCTTTCTGCCCAGCCTCTAGTATTTTACTGACTTCCCCTGCTCTTTGTCAGGATATGAGGTGTGGGGTTTTGGGGGTTGAGGTTTGTGAGGGCTGTTGTGCAAGGACATAATTTTAGCAGTTCTTACTAAAAAAAAAAGAGTTACCTTCTACAGCAGCCTGTAGAGGTTTTGGGGTGGGGAGAAGAAAGCAAGCTTCAAGTAAATGCTCTTCAGTGTTGCGCTTGTCATGAGTTGTCTGAACCATGATACAAGGTGGCTGACCTAACATGATCTGTACCAAATTTTCAGTTAGTTACAGAAAGGCTGTTGGATTTCTGATAAATTTTGGAATGCGTAGTTTAGCTTTATATCTTAAGACCTAACTTCTGTCACATCACTAAGAACATTTAAGCAAGTGGAACTTTAAATGCAAGGATTGGTTACTCTTAAATATATCTAAATTTAACCACACTTGTTAAATCTGACTTGCTTATAATCTAATGAACAGATAAGGCCAAATCAAGTTAATGCAGTATACAGAACCTACATTTTGTGAGGCAAATACGGTCCAGTTTTGTCTTCAGAAAAATCAATTATTTTTAATTCCTTACTATACAAACTTAAAATTTCAGTGAATGTGAAGGCCAGAAACTGAGTAATACTAGAGAGGTAAGCTACCATAGATGAAATTACTGGCTTTCAAAAGAATAAGGCAGCATCACCCTTCTTGTAGGAAAGAAGTTTAAGATTTTCTGGGAGGGTATGCTATCTTTATTTAAAATTGCTTTCCTACAGAATGGGTGACACTATCTCATTCTTCAGTAACTCTAACCATTTGGTTCACATCCCTCTTGTGCTGGGGATACCGGAATTACTGTACGCAGTATTCCAGGGGGAGTCTCATGAGAACCAAGCAGAGGGGAGAATCACCTCCCTTGACCTGCTTGCCATGCTCCTTTGGATGCAGCCCAGCATAGGGTTGGCTTTCTGTACTGCAAGCAGACATGCTGGGTCATGTTGAGCTTCTCATCAACCAGTGCCCCAAAATCTTTCTCCTCAGGGCTGCTGACCATTTGGTCAAAGTCTGTATCCTCTTGTAAACTGTATCTTACTGCAAAAAATGGGCTGCTGTGTTCTTGATTATACCTCATTCTGGATTTTGATGTATAGGAGGAGCACAATGATCCATCCTGATGGAAGTAATAAAAAGAAAGTACTTAATGAGGAGACTACTTTGACTGCAACATAAAACTGCAGAAGTGACACTACTGTGACAAAGGCTTTCTGATTAGGATTATTTACACACAGAGGCATGCTTGTACAGCTTAAAACAAATATCCCCATAAAGCTTAATATTAAATCATCCTATATCAGTGTATATTTCATTACTTGAGTTGGATTCTGGTGGGGTGGGGCTTTACTACTACTTGTAATTCTTGTTCTCTCTCATTTTTATTTCTTTATTTCAAAGGGTCCTCGGAGACAAGCCATGAAAGAACTGTCAACTGACTTGGCTAAATATCAGCGATGGCTGATTAAAAACAAGATGAAGGCTTTCTATGCTCCAGTGCATGCAGAGGACTTGCGGGATGGAGGACAGTACTTAATGCAGGTACACCTCTCCTTCAATTTTTAATGTCTTTTTTTTAAAGTAAGTGATGAAGATGAACATCAAAGTTTGAAATGTTTTTATACTTGGAAGTAGTTTTATTTTTCATAGTTATATAATAAATATATGTATAATAAAAATACTGTTTAAGAAAATAATAGAACCTTTATTTTTATTCTTCTTAGGCTGCTGGCCTGGGTAGGATGAGACCTAACACCCTTGTTGTTGGATTTAAGAAAAACTGGAGACAAAGTGACATGAGAGATGTTGAAACCTACATCAATTTATTCCAGTAAGCAGAGAATGTGGAGCTGTAGCTCTTATGTTCCATTTCAGTATGTTCAGTAATGAGGTGAAATCAGTTGTGTGAAGTCTCACGTAGACTCCGATTTTCCATATTGCTGATGTAGCAGTCTTCAATACTTTGTTTTCTTCTGATACAGAAATTAATAAGTTTTTATACTCTAAAAGGATTCTATTTCTGTATAATAACTCTTTCTGTGTCTAGAAAGTGTTGCAGCAGTGGTCTGAGGTTTAAGAATCTGCACAGATGAACCTAGTATCTTATGTGCCAGTCTTTGAAGCATGTTGTCTACTTAAAGCAGGGTTTTTCCTACACTACTTCTGTACAAATTAAGTGTAGTGAAGAATTAATCAGTTCTTATGCTGAAACTCTTACCTTTGTTAAACCTTGCTGTTACATACAAGAAATATTCTACTTACAAGATACACAGCACTGACTCACAAAGTAATACAGTAGCCAAAAGGGAGATAGGGAAGGAAGTACTAGTGTAATTTGACAGTACTGAAAGACCAGTTCTGGCTGAAAAACTTCAAGAATAATTTGTACTACAAACACTTAAGAAAACCAAAGCTTGCTTCTTGTGCTTATACAGAAGATTTTTTGTTTTCCTTAAATGCTGCTTAACCTGCTTCATTTGTGTTTTACAATTTTCACTTACTGTGCATTTGAAAGAAACAGGATGGAGGGATTATGGGGAGAGATTAGAAAAGTAAAGCAAATAGTTCCTTAAATTCATTAAGAGCAAAGAATCATACCTGTTCTTGAGAGAAGCCAGAGCATCAAATGCAGTGAAAAATAAGGAAACATGTTGGTTAGTTCTTGGGTTTTCTTTTTTTCTTATTTTATTTTGGAATAGCTTGTGCTGGAAGATGTATCAAGGCCAACAAGTCATGTGATTCTCCATACCCCAAAAGAGAAAGCTCAGGAGGTAATAACTGTAGCTCAGGCATGTTTCTGGAGAATCTCTGGAAAATTGAAAGTTCCTAAAGCACACAATAGATATCTAAACACATCTAATCTGTACAGATTTAACAAATTAAATCATTAATTTAAAATGTTCACTAATGGACAAAACATTTTCTTATTATCAACCTCAATTTTTCTTGCATAATAGAATATATTGACACTTCGAACGTTTCTAATCAAGTCTTACTGCTTCTAAAGAGAAGTGTTTAATGAGTGAAATCTTGCGAAATTTCTGTCTGTGGAAATGACATAGAAGAAAGTTCTCTGATTTATTGTTTGTAATAATGTATTTGTATTTAAAGGACTGATGATTGATAACTTGCAGACTGTATGATATGGTTAGGTTCATGTTTTTCTGTTGTGTTTCTTGAGGGTTTTTTTGTTCTTTATTTTACTTCGTTTTCACTCAGTGATTTATTCAGGCTTTTTGCTTTTTTATAAGGTAATGATGTTTTCCTTTATTTTTTTTTTTTAAAGGGGCAAGTTCTTTTCCCATCAGGTATAATGGGAATAGGCATGTTATAGCTAATTTGATTCTATATTACAACTTCATAAGTGTGTTTAATACCAAATGTTTTGGAAACTTGTGTTAAAGTTTTAGTTCTCAGATCAATGAGATCTAGTCAAAATATGTCTCTTTTTTATGGGGAGAGATAAAACTTTAGATTTGTCAGTGTATCTGGTCATCCTTCATTAAGAACTTGATTGCCCTGTTAGTGTTTCTTTTATTGAATTGCTGTTTACAGGGGAGAGATGGAGAGGGAATTGATCTGTATTGCTTTTCAGGAGATGGAATTCAGTTCACTAATGCAGTTGACAGTCTGGAATGTAAACTGAAATTGTAACATTTATGATTTGGGAGTTTAAATGGCAGTATTTAATCACTGGAGTTTCTTCAAAGAGGGTGCGTAAAGTAGCTTTTTGTAAAAGAAAAAGGTGAAAACACTTTATTTTTGTTCCTTTTGTTCAGTGATGCCTTTGACATTCAGTATGGGATAGTTGTCATCCGCCTAAAGGAGGGCCTGGACATTTCTCACCTTCAGGGCCAAGGTAAGATTTATTTTGTTTCCTCTGCTTCTAATTCACTTCTAATACTGCTTTCTGAAAATACTAAATGAAAATAAATTAAAAAAAAAACAAACAAAAACCAAAACAAGAGCCAAAACAGAAGACCACATTAAGCCAAAATAGAACACAGAATTAACACCCCCCCCCCAAAAAAAAACACAAAAAAAAACCACCCAAAACAAAAAAACACCACACAACAAACTAAAAAAAACAGTTGTCTTTACAGAGTAAAAATCATGGAAGAAGCAAGCTAGAAATGTAAAAGGCAAAAACTGCCCGTGTATAATGACACAACTTTGTTTTCTATGTGTTTCAACTTTCAGTATTCATAAGCTGCATATAGTTTTTTTCCAAAGATTTACTATGTTACTGAAACAAACAGGCTGGCAAATTGATATAAAGTATTTGGACCCAGGTCTGACAATGATGAAAATCACAAATGTTGCATGATCCAAGAGTGCTGAGAGTCTGGTGTGGGTTGCCAACCCCTACATGCACTAGGGCAGAAACCTCAGCAGTAGTCCATTTCAAGTTTGGAAAGGCTTTGTTTTTCCATATAGGAGCCTTGGTTATGTTTCGTAGTAGCAATGGTAAGCCAAATGATAAAATTTTAGTTAAATTTCAAGCAGACTAATGGAGAAGGCCTGTGAGCTTTGGCAGCAACTGTCTGCTGAATTGATAGTGTCTGATTTGTTTGTAGCTTGCTCCCTACAGTGCTGCACAATGAAGAACACTTGTGACACAAGCTCTGTAGGGGGGCATCCTCTTGAAAGAGGGGAGAGTTGTTCCTTCATCGGGAGCACACAAATGTCTTAGGATTTGGAGAGAAGCAGAGAGCCTGTCACTCTGTGCAGTAGGGCATAGGAATGTGAGAAAATGGCAAGGAGTGTAGTGTGAAAACAACAGTGCTGAGAACATTGATGAATGAAACACCAAGATGTCAGAAGCTTTGTAACATTCTCTGTTGACTTTGAGTTTGCTTTAGATGTGACAGCTACCAATTAGCTCCACTGAAGCCAGACCTGGAAAAAAATCTTAGCTGTGTTAACACACTTCGTCTGGGCCTTGTCTGAGGTTCATCTTCCTCTTGGAGTTAGAGTAGAAATGGAAAATATTTCTGCAAGTGATTTTTTTTTTTTTTTTTTTTTTCCTCCTGGTTATATTTTTCAGTATTTCTAGCTCTGGTTTATGTTCAGCCTGTGGTAATGCAATCAATAGCAAAAATCTGGGAAGAAACTAGCAGGAAATTACAGCTTTGCTCAGAGGAGGAGTCTCCTTGTATTCTGAAACATTTCACACAAGACTTTCTGGTGGTTTTCTGCCCTTTTTAAAGAATTTTCTTTCCCTTTCTTTGCCATGATATAAGAATTGCAGTAGAGGTTAACCCACCGTGAAGTATCTCTGTATTGTCTCACACCTGTAATGATACCATTTGGACAATTGTTTAAAATGTGTTTCTGTGCTTTCTCAAAGAAGAATTGTTGTCATCCCAAGAAAAATCTCCATGTGCCAAGGATGTCATAGTAAAAGTGGATTATAGCAAGAAGGCGGAGACAGACACTTCTATAGCTTTTGCTCCATCATTTAGTGAAAGAACTTCCACTTCATGTAAAGGTAACTTGCTAGTTAGCAATGAATTTTCAATTCTCACTGCTTCTCTCTTTCATTCTGTTTTCAGGTTCTCTATCCCCTCACCAGGGAATTATTTAAGGCAGTTTTCTGTGTGGAATAGAAGTGTCATGCTTTTCTAGCTGTTGATATGACATGGTTTAGTGGGAGGTGTCCCTCCCCATGGCAGGGGGGCTGGAACTAGATGATCTTAAGGTCCTTTCCAACCCTAACTATTCTATGATTCTGTGATATCACTAAAGTTTTTGGTTCAGAGCTTCTAGTGTGTAGAATAAATCTACATCTTGTCCGTTAAATAAAACAGGGAGTAGACAGTGACATGCAGTAGATTTTCTTTGTTAATGAGTTAGGCATTAAAAATTGCTTGAGAATCGTGCTACACATCTGTACATTTAAGTGTGATTTGAAGACTGCTGAATTTATAAAGAGTTTTTCACCTTAGGCTAGAGTATTTTATCTATGATAGCTGACACATATAATTTGCGATATTTTTACATGAGAATGACCAGTTTTCCTCTTATTTTAAAATAAAAGCTTGGAGTGACTTAATAGGCACTTTAGAGGAGCCAGCAAGGAGAAGTGCTATGCTTGACCTCGTGCTCACCAACAGAAAAGGGCTGATTGGAAATACGATGCTTCAGGGCAGCCTTGGTTGTAGCAATCATGAGATGGTCGAGTTAGAGATCCTCAGGACAGTGAGAAGAGCGTGCAGCAAGCTCACTGCTCTGGACTTCAAGAGAGCAGACTTTGGCCTCTTCAGGAACCTGCTTCGGAAGGTTCCATGGGATACAGCCCTAGAGGGCAGGGGGGCCCAGGACTCTTGGTTGATATTCAAGGATCACCTGTTACAAGCTCAGGGGTGTTGTGTCGCAACTACAAGGAAGTGTGGCAGAAGGGCCAGGAGACCTCCTTGGAAGGATAAGGAGCTGCTGAGGAAAATTCAATTGAAAAAAGAGGCTTATAAAAGGTGGAAGCAAGGACAGGTGGCCTCAGAAGAATACAGGGATGTTGTCTGGGAAGATAGGGACCAGGTTAGGAAAGCTAACGCCCAGTTAGAATTAAACTTAGCTAGGGATGTGACAGATAACAGGAAGGGATTCTATAGGTACATTGCAGATAAAAGACAGACTAACACGGGCCCTCTCCGGAAGCTGTCAGAACTGGCTACCCTGGATTTGGAGAAGGCTGAGGTTCTTAATGACTTCTTTGCCTCATTCTTCACTGGCAAAGGCTCTGACTATACCACCCAGGTCTTGGGAGGCAGATGCAGGGACTGTGAGAATGAAGATCTTAGGCCCACTGGCCAGAGGATCTGGTTCAAGACCATCCTAAGAACCTGAACACGCACAAGTCCATGGGACCTGATGAAATCCACCTGCGGGTCCTGAAGGAGCTGGCAAATGAAGTTGCTAAGCCACTGTCCATCATATTTGAAAAATCATGGCAGTCAGGTGAAGTTCCTGACAACTGGAAAAAGGGAAATATAACCCCCATTTTCAAGAAGGGGAAAATGGATGACCTGGGAAATTACAGACCACTCAGTCTCACCTCTGTGAGGTGACACTGGCAAAATCTTGGAGCAGATTCTCCTGGAAGGCATGCTAAGGCACATGAAAAACAACAAGGTGCTTGGTGACAGCCAGCATGGCTGCACTAAGAGGAAATCCTGCCTGACCAATTTGGTGGCCTTTTATGATGGGGCTACAGAACTGATGGACAGGGGTAGAGCAGTTGATGTCATCTACCTGAACTTGTGCAAAGTGTCCCACATGACTTCATTGTTTCTAAATTGGAGAGACATTCGTCTTATAGATGGACCACTCAGTGGATAAAGAACTGGCTGGATGGCTGCAAGCGAAGAGTTGTGTCAATGGCTCAATGTGCAACTGGAGACCAGTAACGGGTGGTGTACCTCCAGTGCAGTTGGAGGGAAGGAATGCCATCTAGAGGGATGTTGACATGCTTGTGAGATGGGCTGATGCCAACCCTCATGAAGTTTAACCCTGCCAAGTGCAAGGTCCTACACCTGGGTCGGAGCAATCCCAGGCACAGCTACAGGTTGGGCAGAGAAGTAATTCAGAGCAGCTCTGCAGAGAAGAACTTGGGGGTGTTGGTCGATGAGAAACTGAACATGAGCCAGCTTCAGTGTGTGCTTGCAGCCCAGAAAGCCAGCTGTATCCTGGGCTGCATCAAAAGGAGCGTGACCAGCAGGTCAAAGGAGGTGATCCTGCCCCTCTACTCTGCTCTCGTGAGACCTCACTTGGAAGTACTGTGTACAGTTCTGGTGTCCTCAACATAAAAAGGACATGGAAGTGTTGGAACAAGTCCAGAGGAGGCCATGAGGATGATCAGGGACTGGAGCACCTCCCATATGAAGACAGGCTGAGAACGTTGGGGCTGTTCAGCCTGGAGAATAGAAGAGTGTGTGGATACCTCATAGCAGCCTTCCAGTATCTGAAGGGGGCCTATAGGGATGCTGTGGAGGGACTCTTCATTAGGATCTGCAGTGATAGGACAAGAGGTAACGGGTTAAAACTTAAACAGGGGAAGTTAGACTGGATTTAAGGAGGAAGTTCTCTACTATGAGGGTGGTGAGGCACTGGAATGGGTTGCCCAGGGAAGTTGTGAATGCTCCATCCCTGGCGGTGTTCAAGGCCAGGTTGGACAGAGCCTGGTGTGAGATTGTGTAGTGTGAGGTGTCCCTGCCCACGGCAGGGGGGTTGGAACTAGATGATCTTAAGGTCCTTTCCAACCCTAACTATTCTGTTACTCTATGGTAATAGTTAAATGAGCAGTGGGAGTACAAATAAATCTGAGGATCTCCTAGTCTGCAATTGTGTTCCTTTCTTTGTATGAAAATCCATTTCATTCTACATCTTTATTTTCTGTTTTTTATGTATATTAGTAGCACTTTCACTAACATCAAAATTAACATTTTTATTTTGTATCTTTAAAAATCTTCCAGAGGAGGACGAGGATGGAAAGACTCCAGCACAACCTCTATTGAAAAAAGGCAGGCATTTTCCACCTTTTTTGTGTTAAATCATTCTTTTGCATTATTAATTTCAGTTTTCCTTTTGTATTCCTTTCTACACACCACACATATGTATATAAAAATAAATACATATATATATATACCTAAATGAAAGAGAGGAAAATACCAACCTTGCAGTATTCTTTCTTCATTTCTGCTGGAATGTGGTTCATCTTTAGGGATTTGTGTAAAAATGCAGCTTTGTGGAAATTCCCAGATGAAGTTGCTACTTACCTGGAAAGGATTGTGCATATATCTGAGATTTTAAACTTCTGTTCTTAAGTAACATTTGAAATGTATTCAGGAGCTTGTTCAGCATTCTGTCCCTTAGGTACCTATCTGTGTCCTTACTTGATTTAGGAGTACTGCAAATATTACCTAATGGTATAGTGAAAGTGCTCCATCAGTATATTCAGTGGCTCTGAAAGTTACTACTTAAGATACCACAAAATACTCAGAAGTTGCATTTGATGAATTTCTGAGTGACTAAGTAAAACACTTCAATTCTATCATACTTTTTTTGCCAGATTCAAAGATCCAGTCTTCTCCTTTAAATTTGACTGACCAAAGACTTCTTGATGCTAGTACTCAATTCCAGAGGAAACAAGGCAAAAGCAATATTGATGTCTGGTGGCTCTTTGATGATGGAGGTAATGTGCTTTCTACTTAAAATGTTGAAAAATTACTGAAGTTACCTTGTAATTAATTGTTAATACATATCTTTCAATCAGTTCATCCATAAATTACAAATTTGTACTATTAAACACAATGCTATTGTTTTCTGAATCATTCCCAAATTCTGGTCAAACTGCAGGTTTGACATTGTTGATTCCATATCTTCTTACAACCAAGAAGAAGTGGAAAGACTGTAGGATCAGAGTGTTCATTGGTGGAAAAATAAACAGGATTGATCATGACAGAAGAGCGTAAGTTTACCTTTAAAACTTTAATTCAAAATGCTAATAGATCATGCTGCACAGGACATGGCTTTCTGTTCCTAGTAGCCTTCTTTCAGTTGTTCTTTAGCTGAGGTGTAATCATATTCTGTTCCCTTTTTCCAAAAAAAGTTCCATTTCCCGCAGATTGTTTTGGATGAGATATGTCAGGTTAATTTGTTTGCAGCAGCATTGTCTGACACTTAACGTTCTTTTTTTCAAGTATTTTCTGAATTTGTCTTTAAGGAAGAGCTCTTTAGTTTTTACAACCAAACACCTATCTGTTTAACCCTGTGAAATAATTAAAACTCTGATCATACATAAAGGCTTGTTTTCTTGATACAGGATGGCTACTTTGCTCAGCAAGTTTAGGATAGACTTCTCGGACATTATGGTTCTTGGGGATATTAATACTAAGCCAAAGAAAGAAAAGTAAGTCTCGGAAAATTCAGTTTCTTTGTTTCCCGAATACTTGATTCATTCATGAATTTTGATTACTTCATTCTTTCCTACATATCAGTTTTGATTAGAGTAGTTCCTGTGATATGCAGTACTTCACAAAAACAGGGGAAATAAACCTGACATCCAAGAACAAAGAATTTTGTATTTTTTAAATTCTCTGGCCCTTAGACTGTAATACTAAATTTAGAAAAATACAGTTATAAGAATCCAGTTTGTCTGGAGTGAAAGAGAAATGCTCACAAAAAACTTAAATGGCCTTTATCTTACTTGGAGCCATAGTTTAATGTAAAAAAGCTTGGTCTTCAAATAGCTATGTGATATTTCTGATTTTCAATTTTAAGAAACATTAAATTATAGATGGCTTTCAGGACAAATATGTAACAGCATGTGTGAGATGAAAAAAATATTATCCTCCTTTCCATTCAAGTCATCTTTAGTGTGTTGAAGCTGCAAAACTATCTTTTATGTGGATTTGCATATGACTGAATAATTTAATGTCATGCAAATTAGAAAATACTTGTTTGCAACTTACGTAAATGGTGAAGGCTGGTATGCATTGGTTTTTATTCTGCTTTCAGTCACCTTTTCTTAAGTGCATAGAGTATATCAAGCAATTAGAACACTAGACTACTCCTGCCACTGTGATGCTTTTGGGATGTCTTAGCTCTTGGGAGCCTGCTATTTTTCAGTGTGAAAAACTTAGAGGTAGCACATATTTATGCATAAAAAGTTGAGCTAGTAGAATTACATGTTGTTACTTTTTCGTTTTTGTAGAGGTGATTCACAAGTTATTTCTTCTCAGAGCATTTTTTTCTATCTCTGCAAGTACATTCCCCACAATACATCCAAAACCTTTGTAAGATGCTAGTTGGCCTTAATAATAGCTGTAAGGAAAGTGGAGGAAGATGATTTAAGTTGCAATGTTATGTAATAGAATATTGTCACTATTTTTCCTTTTTGTTCAGGCAAAAAATAGCAGATCACATTTGTTTTTTCCCTTTTAATAAAGGTGAAGTCATCGTAACTTCAGTAAAGAGCACCAAAAGTAGAAAAAAAAATATTTTTTTTTTTTAAGCAGTGTGTGGGGTTTCCTGGAGGAGCAGGAACACCTCACAAAATGGGCATGTGGGGAGCGTTTAACTATACAGAAGCTAACGTGTTACGCATACTGATACTACAATTTATCCTAAGAGGTGTTTTTTAATGTCTGTTAAACTTGCCACACTGTAATTTGCAACCACAGAACACTGGCAATACCTTGTCATCTATATAAAAAAAAAAAACATTTAAATAGCATCAAAATGCAGTTACTTCATTGGATGCAAAACATAATTTCAATATGTATAGGTAAAAATCTTGTTTATTTTTCTCACCTCTCACATGCTGGGTCTATTGAAAGACAAGTTACTTTCATAACTGTGGCAGCCTTGTTTGCTGTTCAAGTATCTTAATGTCGGTAGAGAAAGTAAGGTAATGCAAGTTGTTCTTGTTGAAACAAATGCCTCTTCAGTCTTCATAAGGTTTTCTTCCAGAGTTTTTGCTAAAGTTCAAGTAGTCAAAGTAGCTTCTCATATTCTAACAACGGCAACAGTAAAACAAGATGGCTGTGGTTGTTTGCATTTGAATGTGGCTCTAGGACTGTATTGCAAAGGTTAAGAAAGAGAATAAAAACATCAAAGCCAAAATCCTAATGGCATAAGCATGAAGCTTGATAGCTATTAGTGTGACATGTAAACTTACCTTTCAGATTTAATTCTGAAGCTACTGCTACTCAAGTCCTCAACTTTCAAAATTACAGTAAAACTCTTACCAAAAGTTGTTTGGGGTTTTTATTTTTAAACTGGCTAAAACTTTTTATTGCATGATGAATAGTGAAAGCTCCTACAGATGTCCCTAATTGTTGAATTATGTGTGCATATATAAGTAGCTGATCTGATGTTCTAACTGCAGTTGGCAATGAACAGATTTCAGTTCACTTTATTTTTACATGGTAGTAAAACTTCCTGATACATGAAAGTCATTGCTGACACAGACTCATATCTATTCTAATACGGCTGTTCAACTTACTCGTTCCAGTATTGCAGCTTTTGAAGAAATGATAGAGCCCTTCCGACTTCATGAAGATGATAAAGAACAAGAAGTTGCAGATAAAATGAAGGAGGATGAACCATGGAGGATAACAGATAATGAACTTGAGCTTTACAAAACAAAGGTTCTGTATTTATTTTTTTATCCTACTTCATTTGTGGATGTAAAATCAATGAGTTCATGCTTGTAATTATCTCTTCCATAGTTGATTTTATGCATAGCTGATGGAAAGCGGCATTTAAAACCATTTATGTGGTTTTCAAAAAAAAAAAAGAAATATTTCTGCCTTCTGGGAAGGGGAGGGCCTAAATGCCTTTATTTAGTATAATATAGTTTTTATTCACCTGTCTGACTTTTTTTTTTTTTAACCAAACATACCACATCTGGTTGTGGTGTTAAAGAGCAATTAAAAGTTTGCTATTTTCCCCAGGTAGTCATGCACTATAGAGGCATCAGAGGTACTCCTTTTCAGTTGGATCTGTAGAGGAGACTCAGGTAGCATTTTGTAACAGGATTCAGATACAGACAGGTAACTGAAAAGAAGACTGGTTAAGTTTCAGTAAACTCAGATTCTTCAAGATGGTTTTGAATGTATTCCACACATCTTTTTTTTCTTTCCTGTATGGGTTTTACAACTTCTGTGAGGATTTGCTGTGGAGAAGCAATGGGAATCTCTTAACTGCAAATTACCAAGGGGTTGGGGGAGAGTGGGAATTTTATGAAGTACAGTTACTTTATGGTTAATGACCTGCTCGATGCTTTCCTGTTCCTTATGTCTATAAACACTGCCAAAACTAACTTCAGTAACTGAAGTGATTTATTCTGTGTGCTAATAGCTTAATTTTTTCCTCAGACACCAGCCTGTGGGCTGGGTAGACTTCAGCTTATTTGAGAATAACAGAACTATAAGAAATGGTTACCTCAAAATTTTTGCTAGGAAGTTGGTTGATGTAAGAGCTGAACTCTACTGAGGAAGCTACCTGAGATGTTAAGACAGGGCAAGCACACCACAGAGATGAAGACAGGACTTCACTTATCTAAGCTTCTGTAACTGTGAGCTTCTAGGATACAGTTAAGAGAACCTTAAAGAGAGTATATAAGGGGTTCTTGCTTACAGGAGCTATGGAGGGTGGTACCATTTTTAGAGTAACTACTTCAGACTTTCACAGTACTTGGCTTATTTCCAAACTTTAAGCTTACTGCTTTCTTCTCTCCCAGCCTTGCAGTCATAGGTGGTTTGGAACAGTGGACAGGTTGCCAAACTGAGGTGGAAGTACATGCTTCCTCCAAATGACTTGTACCAATTCATCATAACTGTTTTTCATTTTTCTTGAATAAATAAAATTCTTGTACTTTTGTATAAAAGATCTTCCTAACAAATTTCATTTTAATTACAGACTTACCGCCAGATTAGGCTAAATGAGTTGCTACAAGAGCATTCAAGTACAGCTAATATAATTGTCATGTAAGTAAATGATGTGTACTGTTACCTTAATTGATACAGAACTGTAATTTAAAATATGTGTAAATACAGGTTAGGGAAAAACTGGTGCCTTGACATTAAAGTACAGAAATACTCAAGGTTCCAGTGCTGGAAATATTTGTTAGACATATAGAGATACTATGCTAATGAGTGAAAAGTGGCCTGTGTAGTTTTAGATTAACTCCACATTTATAGCGGGGGTCAGGATTCTCACATTCCTCTTCTGCATGCCATATGTTCCCCTTTCTTTCCTGTCCTTCCATTCAGATTTTTTTTCTAGGAAATCTGTCTAGGTGAAGTTAAATTTCATTCTGCTGATGGATTTTCACGGAATTGCTTTTGGTGTAAACAAGCAGAATGAAGATTGTATGTTTCCTTAGAATCACAGAACAGTTAGGATTGGAAAGGACCTTAAGATCACCTAGTTCCAACCCCCTGCCATGTGCAGGGACATCTCACACTAAAATGTTATTATAAATAAAATCCTTGCTGTGTTTTTCTTTAGGATCATACTTTATCACTTCATGAAGCAGTATTACAAGTGAAGTTTGAGTAGGGCAATTAAACAGTAGTTTTTTTTTAAGAGAAATGTATGGCATGTTTTGGAAGGGCTGTGAGAAAGAATGTTAGATTGCAGTGTAAAAAAAAAAGAAAAAAAAAAGGTTTGTTTTTAAAATTTTGAGTTTTTCAAGAAAATGTCCTTAACTGAGGAGAATTCTCCATGAAGCTACCTGAATATAAAATGGTGGTAAGAGGCCATAAGTGAGGGGTAATTAGATGTAAAGGCCTGTGGTGCTTAGGATAGGAACTCTCAACCCATTAACTGAATTCTGGGGCAGGGGGAGGGGAAGCAAAAGAAAAACTGAAAAGGTTAGGAAATTTAATTTTGCATCTACCTCTTTGCACAATTGTACTTTCATGTTTACATGGCATGACTTGTACTCCACCAGGTTTTTCTAATTGTTGAATGCTTTTCTTTGTGAATTGTAGGAGTTTGCCAGTTGCACGAAAAGGTGCAGTTTCTAGTGCGCTGTACATGGCCTGGTTGGAAGCACTGTCTAAGGATCTGCCACCAATTCTTCTTGTTCGTGGGAATCATCAGAGTGTTCTTACCTTCTATTCCTAAGAGTGCTGCACATGGGACAGCTATGATGAAATGGTACTTCAGTGTACAGTGGAGAGTGACTTACATATATATGATCTATAGTTTATTAACATCACAAACGCAAAAAGTGACTCTTCTTTCACGATTTCACTGACTTGAAAGCACACAAGGAAAGTTGCTGTATTTCTAAAGGTGTGACATCTTCAGTTTTATTCTGTATTTTCTGTAATCTTGCTTAATGGGGGAGGATTCCTTGTTAGACTGAAGAATAAGACAAGCTTTTTGTTTGCTATTTGAATAGCAGCAATAAAATGTTTTATTTTTGATCAATAAAAGTATTATAGATTTATAAAAGCCTTTTAGCCTTGAGGTGCCTTCTGAAATTAACCAAATCTCATCCATACATCCTATTTTGTAAATTTATATAGAATGTCGAAAATCTGCCTTCAGCTAAGAGTTTAGATCAGACTTCCTTTAGTTTTTAGTCTCTTCCATATTACAATAAAACTGAATGCTGCTTTTCAGTCTTCCATCAAGATATTAGTTCTTAATACTGTATGTTTTCTATTGTCAGAATTTTTTTTTATTATTATTATATCTGTTAGATTTAAAGGTCAGAATTGGGGCAGGTCAGTTGCATTAACACAGTTTTGTGATGCGATTGTCAAGACTTTGTGCTACTAAATTTTGTAAGAGTTAAAATAAAATTAATTCCTACTAGCAGAGAGAATCCTTTTCTCAAATTTGACAATATGTACTACTGAGATACATGGCTAACATTAGCTACCTTGGCAAAGGTGTGTCTAGAGCTTTGTAGCTCCAGCGTGAAGCCAAATTCATCTTGCTGTCTGAGGCTCTTAGTACAAATGAGAAGACCTGTCCCTAGTTCTTGGCCTATTGTATTTTGGTGTCACTTTCAAACTTACTTTGAAACAAAACTTAAGGCTTGAATGGGGATAATATAAACAATGTGATGCTATCTAACAGAAAACAGTAAACACTATGTGAAAACTTGCTATCCAATATAAAATGTAAAAGCTACAGTTCTCTCGCATTTTTCAACAAATGGTTAAAAGGACCACTAGTTAGTAGGGGAGATGTTTTTAGGTCAATCCGTTCAGTTGTCAGAAAATACATTTATTTTTATTAAATAATACTCAGGTTTGATTGTCTAGCCATTTAGATCTCTTCCATACATCCCACTTTATACATTTTCTATGTTCAATAAAGAAACTGCCAATCTTATATGCCCTTTCATTGCATATTTTAAAAACTTCATAATTTAGCCTACTATGAACACCTACACAAGAAAATTCACTTAAGCCTTTGTATAAAGGTCCTAATGTGAACTATTTTTTAAATTCCTAATATATTTTGGATAGAAACGATTACCTAAAAACATTTCACAAGCTTTTGATATTAGTATTGGGCATGCTACTGAATCAGTTTACCAGCGGTGGAGTCACTTTCACTTAAGGATGCACAGAAAAGGTGTATTTTTATGATAAATACAAGATCAAATTGAAATATAACTTCCTTTTGAAGGACAAAGTGTAATTGTTGTGTGGTAAAGTAGAGCTTCAAGTTGTGATTAAAGACAGAAATAATTTACACAGTGCAGTTTACAATGTTGTCAAGTTCTTGATAAACTGCTAAAAATTTTTTTTGCTGTTTCAGTTTGGATTTGAGATTATTGAATCACTTCCTTTATTTAAAAAAATAATAAAAACAAGTAAGTGTTTTGCTGCTAAGTGTGAGATAACTGATGCCAGCATGAACCCAGCTTGACAAGACTGCAGTAAAAGTGCTATTTCCTTCCAGGTTGAGGGGGTGGGGAACAAACTTACCAGTGTATCTATTACAGGTTTTACAGTGTTTTTTGGGGGAAAGGGATGTCACATTGTGAGTATGGAATCATTGCTGTGTTTCTTCTTGTTTTGTGGGTCACATTCTTTTGAACAGATGGGACAGTAAGGCATGGACTTAGTGCTGCTATCGTTAAAAAATAAATACATGCACAGGTACACTTAAAAGATTTTTTTTTTTTTCCCATTCAGGAAATCATTGCTTGTGATCTGTAACACAGAAACCAAATGAAGTGTGTGTATACATGCATATATGTGTATAAAAATTATATAAAATATATCTAAATATGCATATGGGGATAGTTAAAGTAGTCTGTGAAGTAATGTAGGATGCTTTTCTCATGCACTCTGAAGTCCACTAATGCTAGGCACGGGGTCAAGCTTCAAGATTATTTGCTACACTAAAACTTCAGTAGTTAATGGTAATTGTTTGCAAGATGTCAGTTAGTGGCAGTCACTCCAAACTTCTGCTTTTGATTTTGACACCAAATTAGGTATGTTCCAATCATTAATTACTTGAAAAATGAAATTACTTACACATGGCAATTCATACCTTCTATAGATTAGGTTTCTTTATATGGGTTTAGAAAGACTGTTGTAGCTGGAGCAAATCAATTATTTATTTTTCACTTGTATTTAGGTTTCCTTTTACATACATTCTTTTTATATGCTTTTTCTGACATTGCATATTTAAAAATAACTGAAAATAATTTAAAGATCTGAGCATTAGTGGGTAATGGCCCACTTGGTTTGAAGAGGTAAGATTTGATACTGTACTGTAACTGTCACACACAATGCTTTTCTAATGTTTAACGTGATTATTGCAGTTAATACTTTGTACCAGGGGGATGTCACTGCAATAAAAGGAAGTGAATTCAATACAACTGTCTTGTCTTACAAAGCCTTTTTTATTGGTGGGGATAAGGAACAGTGTTCATAGTAGCATTAATACTGAAAATAGTCCCTGATAGGTGAATATGCTTATTGCATGCATCTGTATGTAGGTTCATTGTGGAATTTGCTTAGGACCATGCAGAACTTAAAGCCATTCAGGTGTCTGGTATAAGGAGACAAGTGTTTTGTTCTCAGGGAAGGGGTTTGCTGCTGCTGGGCTAGGAACTGCAGTTGTTTTGCATAACAGAATTACACCTTGTTTAGCTCTCTTAAAATTTCTCATGACCTGCAAACGGTGCAGACCAATCCACAACATGTGGTATGCGTAAGCTGGAATGTAAGTATCTCAAACTTTGTACCTATGACACATAAAATCTGTGTTGGCCTGAATACAGTGGACTGTTCTTTTTCTTTCAGGAAATTGTAGTCCACTGGGTATGAGGAAGTACGTTGAGAAAATTACTTGTAAGCCGCAGATGCTTGTGAGTAAGTCACATTTGGCATTAACTCCACTAGTGTACATTCAACTAGTTGCAACATCGATCATAATGAAACCTAGCCAGTGTTCATTTTCTCATATCACATGGTAACTGGAACCAATGAGTAACTTTTCAACCTCATCCATTTTGGTGTTTCCCAATGTAGCTGGGTAAAGGAGATACTTTATTTAAAAATTAACATCTAATGAATTCAGACCTCTATTTAATTCTTAATTTAGTGAATTCTTAATTCACTAAATATTTGTTAAATTTTTCCATGCATTTAAATCTCACTTAAGAGTGAGATCTGGAGATCAGGGACAAGGAATGCTTGTTAAAAACGACACTGCCAACTTCTGTGGCATTGGCTGTAAGCTGTTTCAGTTTGTAAAGAAGCAGAGGGGGAGGCATGTAGCAGTTTTTCTAGATCCTTTTATTTGCTGAAGGATTATGTTCAGCTGTAATGGGAGCTAGGCTTCAGGTCTGGGATGACAGAGGCAGTGAACAGTATTCTGCTTTAGTATCACTGCTGTGCTTCCCTTCGGTGCAGGGTGAAAACTGGGTTCTTACCAGTGTATCATCAGATCTTGCTACTCTGCTTCTCAGTAGCATGGTGTGGAACAGGTTTTTGAGAGTGGAGAGTGCAGGTTAGGTTGATGGCAGCCAATGCCTGCATTTAAGAGAGGGGGAAACAAGATGAGGGAAATCACTTTTGAACTGGAGGAGTAAATGTTGAGGCAGCAGCACGCACATTCCCCAAACAGAAGCAGGGAAGACATTTCATGTACACCCAGAGGCCTATCTCACAATGCCAGAGAAACCTCACATTCACTGGGGCTATATACATCAAACTTTCTGAGAAGGTGCCCACCCATAAGTTACACCTGGTCACGAGGATAACTGAAGCCCAAGATGACTGCTTACACCCCTGCTCTTACTGCTATCAGCAGGCACAGAACTGAGAACTGACGGGGGACTCCAAGCACAGTTTGCTTGCTGGGCTCGCCCTTCGTTGTGCTCGCTCTGTCCAAAAAGGGTGGTGCTGTAGTTCCGGCTATCTGCTTTCTCCTCTGCCAGCCTGCCGCCCTTCCCTCCCGCACTGCTGGTGCGGGCCTGTGCAGTCACGCTTATCTGCACGTCACAGTGAAACGGAGACGTTGGGGATTTTATATGTCAGAGAGCGCTACATGTGGCTTTTTAATCACCATCCTTCCAAGAGAACGCGCCCCATCGCACCCCTCCCGCTGCCGCTCTTTTACCGCACCTCGCACAGCTCCTGGTGGCGGCATGCGTCTCCCTCGGCCTCTTACTGCCTGATGCGGGGGTTGGGACGCTTCTCCTGTGGCGCGCGGCGGCCCTTAAACCGGGAGCGGGAGACCGGGCGGATGGAAGCGCCCGGGAAGAGCTGTCCTGGCGGTAAAGCCTGTCCGTGGTGGAGCGCTGGAAAAGGATTTTATCGTGTCCCAGTGAAATCTTGCAAAGGACACCGTTAACACGAAGCTAATGGCAGCACCACTTGAATGTGAGAAAAGGGCCTCACAGCAATGCTCCCACCCTTTGGGGATCTGGGGAAAACGCATCCGCACAGCTGAACGGGGATGCTGAGGAGGGACTCTTCATCGATAGCACAGGAAATAACGGGTTTAAACTTAAACAGGGGAAGTTCCGGTTAGACATAAGGAAGAAGTTCTTTACTGTGAGGGTGGTGAAGCACTGGAGTAGGTTGCCCAGAGAAGTTGTGAATGCTCTGTCCCTGGCAGTGTTCAAGACCAGGCTGGACAGAGCCTTGAGTGACATGGTTTAGTGTGAGGTGTCCCTGCCCATGGCAGGGGGCTTGGAAGTAGATGGTCTTAAGGTCCCTTCCAGCTCTTAACTATTCTGTGATTCTCTAACTAGCCAAAGCAAGCTCTAGTGTGATGTTCTGGGTCTTGGTACCTCTTCTTCATAGTCCCTTGGGTCCTGCCACATTAATAATTACGAATTCCTGCTTTAAAATCATGATTTGTGGTGAAGGAAATAGGAAATACTTTTTCCTCACAGTTACTAGGAATTAAAATAGTAACGCCAGGTGGCACTATAGGCTTTCAACAGTCCAGGTAATGCAGGAAACCGAATTGTCAAAACACGCTCATCTTGGCTATTCCTCTGTTTCATGGGCGACTTAGTGATTTCAACAACGCATATCAGCATAACAGTATTCTTTCGTGTTTGGTTGTGTTTTGTTGGTTTTTTTTTTTTTTTTGCATAATTTTTACTTTTCTCTTTCTTTTTCGCTCCCCCCCTCTCCCTCCTCCCCCCCCCCCCCCCCCCCCCCCCCCCCCCGAGAAAAATACTCTGTTTTTTTTCTAAAGGATGCAGGAACCTCCATGCACAGAATGATAGAATGGTTAGAGTTGGAAAGGACCTTAATATCATCAGTTTCCAACCCCCCTGCTATGGGGCTCACACTAAACCATGTGGCCCAATGCCCTTTGGACAGCCTGTTCCAGTGCCTCACCACCCTCACAGTAAAGAACTTCCTTCTTATATCTAAGCTGAACTTCCCCTGTTTAAGTTTGAACCCGTTACCCCTTGTCCTATCACTACAGTCTCTAATGAAGAGTCCCTCCCCAGCATCCTTGTAGGCCCCCTTCAGATACTGGAAGGCTGCTATGAGGTATTCACACTCTTCTGTTCTCCAGGCTGAACAGCCCCAACTTTCTCAGCCTATCTTCATATGGGAATCATCCTCGTGGCCCTCCTCTGGACTTGCTCAAACAGCTCCATGTCCTTTTTATGTTGAGGACACCAGAACTGCACACAATATTCCAGGTGAGGTCTCACAAGAGCAAAGTAGAGGGGCAGGATCACATCCTTCGACCTGCTGGTCAAGCTCCTTTTAATGCAGCCCAGGATACAGTTGGCTTTCTGGGCTGCAAGCGCACACTGAAGCTGGCTCATGTTCAGTTTCTCATCGACCAACACCCCCAAGTCCTCCTCCACAGGGCTGCTCTGAATCTCTTCTCTG